ACGGACTCAAACACGTCAAATTCTAGCGACCACAAGATGCCCTCGGAGCCCGAAACTCGGTCGAAACGCACTCAGAAGCCTACACAACGTCTCCGTGACATCCTCGAGGGACGCGCCGTCTTGTCCAATCGTCCTGGGGCACAAAAGGTTACACCCGGGGTGCAGCTCCCTTCGGAGATCCTCTACGCTCTTTATAGCGAGGCTGGTTTTGAGGGGGAGAACGAGGACGGGTGGGTGATGGTGGCAGACTTCATTGATGAGTATGCGATGGCGGCAGAAATCAGTGAGAAAGAGGCTTTAGAGCCCCGTTCTCTCGCCAAGGCAAGGACTCGACCTGATTGGCCGTTGTGGGAGAAGGCGATCCTGGAAGAACTCGCTGTTTTGAAAGCTGCGGGTACATGGGAACTTGTCGACGCACCTCCTGGAGCCAATATCGTTGGTTCAAAGTGGGTTTTTCGGGCAAAGAAGGATGCCGCTGGCAACGTGGTGCGCTACAAGGCTCGTCTCGTCGCGCAAGGTTTCTCCCAAGTCCCGGGGATCGATTACTTCGACACGTTCGCACCGGTTGCACGCCTTGCTTCTATTCAGGCCGTTCTCGCGATGGCGGCTGTCCATGACTACGAAATCCATCAAGTTGATGTCAAAGGTGCTTACCTAAATGGCATTCTCACCGCCGACGAGGTTATTTTTATGCGCCAACCCCCCGGATATAGGATTTCTGACAGCGCGGGAAAGGTGTGTCGTCTTCTCAAGACACTGTATGGACTGAAGCAGTCGGGGAGGCGATGGTATCAGAGGTTGGTGGAGATCATGGTGCTGCTCGGTTTTGAGCAGTGTGCGGTCGACCAGGCGGTTTTCTTTAAGCGCCGCAGCGAGGCGCTTGTGATCGTGCTTGTGCATGTCGACGACTGCACAATTGTGGCCACTGCACTGCCACTGATCGAAGCCTTTAAGGCCGAGGTCGCCAAGCACGTTGAAATCACCGATTTGGGCGAACTCCACTGGATCCTCGGCATCGAGGTTTGGCGTGATCGCGAACGCCGTATTATCTTCCTTTCCCAACGCTCGTACATCGACTCGATCATTCGCCGGTATAACCTTCAAGACCTCAAGCCTCTTTCCATTCCCATGGACCCCAATGTTCGCCTTTCGAGCGCTCAGTCTCCCTCTACCACTGTCGAGATCGCGAAGATGGCAAATATCCCATACCACGAGGCCGTTGGTTCTCTCATGTACGCCTCGCTCGGTACACGCCCGGACATCACCTTCGCTGTCCAAACCATCTCGCGATACGCCTCAAAGCCTGGTCCCGAGCACTGGGAGGCCGTCAAGCGGATTTTTCGCTACCTGAGTGGTACGAAGGAGTTGTGGTTGAGTTTTGGTGGGGACACGAAGGGGCTGGTTGGATTTGCGGATGCGGATGGGAGTATGGCAGAGGATCGTCACGCGATCTCGGGGTATGCTTTTTTGCTTCACGGCGGTGCTGTTTCATGGAGTGCTAAGTGCCAGGAGATCATCTCACTATCCACCACGGAATCTGAGTACGTCGCAGCGACGCAGGCCACGAAGGAGGCTCTCTGGCTCCGCTCCTTGGTCTCGGAGCTTTGCGCCATTGACCTCGACACGACCACTTTATTTTCGGACAACCAATCAGCCATCGCGCTCACAAAAGACCATCAGTATCACGCCCGCACTAAACACATCGAAATTTGGTTTCATTTCATTTGCTGGATCGTCGAAAAGGGGTCCATTCGACTCGTCTACTGTCCTACTGGCGAAATGGTTGCGGATACTCTCACCAAGGCCCTCCCTTCTGCAAAGGTGAAGCATTTCGCTTCGGAGCTCGGACTCGTGCTCGTTTGAGGGGGAGTGTTGGATTTGGAGAGGCAAATGCGCCCGAGCAGCGCACAGGTTTCACGTATGCAGCTCGTGTCAGCACGGCCCGTCTCATGCTTGGAGATAGGTATTTTGTCTTTATGTTAACTTTCATTTTACTTCCGTCTACTCTACTTCACATCTAGAGTACATATAAACATTCTACGTTATCTCGTTGCCGTTCTTATCATGCATCGGCTGCTCTTTTGTGTTTTATCTTCACATGGCTCTCCTGGGCAGTCGAGCCCATTTATACCGCGCCGTTTTCGTTAGCGCTCCCTCAGCCGTTTTTCCAAACGCTGAGGTGAGCTTTCTAGTTTATGATCTACTATTCATATGCTTACATCCTGTACCTAGCTATTCTTAGGTACTGGTCAATGTTATCAGCCGTTTTTCCAAACGCTGAGCTATTCTTAGTTGGTTCACACTTTGTGGGATTTCACACGATAAAGCAGCTATCAGCGCGATTGAACCACTAGGCCAAAATGTGTACACCTAGTTTTTCGCTCTTTGTCTTTTGTCACTCCCAATTCGACAACCGAGGATTCCATGACATATATTATAGCTAGCGTCATTTGGACCCCGATCCAACTGGTGTTGAGGGGGGTTATCGTCTCACAACGGGGAGGGGCTTGCTTCCTTCCCACGCCGTGACAGGGACAGCTGGTCGCGCTGATCGCCAGTCTGCCGACGTACTGCCGCTTTACGGACCTTATCGTGACCTAGACTGTGCGTAGCCATCACCCACCTTTGGACTCAGTCGGCAGTCTCCGAAGATCGTACCGAAAGCAGTACACAAAGTTTGAACAAAGGTGCTCCAGGGTGTCGTTGACTTACTAATATCTTCCCACACATCCGGCCCGGCGCTTGTGAACTTCGACCGGGCTTTCCTTCCAACTTCCTTCCCCAACTCGAATCTAGTACCAAAGCAACCCAGGCCTTCTCATCTCGCCTCGAAAACGCATGAAAGAACTCTGTCGCATATTGAGGGTCCACTGTGCCTAGCCCCACGAGTGCGTGAGGGATTCCCTCTGCTCTGCTCATCGCCAGGTCACGCTACAATCAACGACGGTCCGGAGGATCTTTCTTTACAACGTCAACGCCTTCGCAGCTCGTGAAGTTCTTATAAATAGGCCGTAGTCTCTTCTTCGGCCGTCTGACGCCCTCGAAATATGTGCTGTACTCATGTCATGGCCCGAACGCATGTCTGATTCGACCCGATTCTCTCTAATTTTGTTCTTGGTGCATGCCCTTTGGATACCCGGAAGACTCGATTGGCCACGAAATCTACTTGAGCTTGTCAGATGGTGTGCCTCGCGATTGTATAGATATGTCGGACGATAGCATCTAACACCCTCTTCTCCCTCATGGCTCCTGCAAGAATGGGTGGTGGCCCTGCTCTCGTCTCTCCTGACGGTGGATTTATTCATCTCGTGAAGAGAGAGCATCCGTGGTATAAGAACAATCGTAGACCTGCCACTTCTCTTCGCGATGGTGTATATCTGATGTTCTTCGATCAGGCCTCGTTCTACTCAATCTTTGGATATGCCTTTTGTATGTTTGCCTTTTATTATCTCTCCTCTTATACCAAAACTTGTCTCCCGCCTCTTCTTGTCAGGCTAATCACTTCGTCGACTAATGGCTACGACGGTTCTATTCTCAACTTTTGTAACGCCGATAGGCGGTCTAATCGTTGGCAATCCCCTTAGGAAGCATGATAAGCAAGTGCTTAAATCTGAAATGAAGACACGACTCAGAAGTTACTATCAGATGGTCTTCAAAGCGTTTCCGAATGGGAAGAATTCTTCAACTTCCCTAATGGTGGCAAGGTGAGAGCTTTAATTCGTGGATTTTGAAGGACTGGACGACTTTGACAAAGTTGGGTTTATTCAATGCGATACAAGTATGCCATTTGCAATATGGCGTCCATGAAGTCGAAACTTATCGTGTCGAAGAACATTGGCTCCCTGTGTGCCTTTCCAATCGCGCCGTACCTGACTGATGGACTGGGGCGAAGGTCCACAATCTCGCTAGGAGCACTTGTCATGGTCGTCGCGACTGTCGTCCAGACCGCATCGCAGAATTTCGGGATGTTTATTGGCGCAAGGTGCTTGTCTCTCCGTTCTCATCACAAGCGTTATCTCATGTCCATCGAAAGGTTCTTGATAGGTTTCGGATTGACCTTTGGCGTTTCCGCTGCGCCATTGCTGATCACGGAGATCGCTTATCCGACTCAACGAGCGCACCAGTTAAGCAGCTAAGAAAGAGCGGTCGCCTCCCAGCGCGCTCACACAAGAAGCCGGAGAAGAGGGCGATTGTGCATGATGCTACCAAGGTGCCAAAGACTATTGTACACCGAGGTCAACTGCGTAGCATTTGGTCCTTTCCCGAAGCTATAAATAGGTATTGATCGTTTCAGGACTCCTTGTGCTCTGGACGCTTGAAACGGTATGCTTTTCCCTTTATTCCCAGAACGGGGACAAGGCAGCAGGGCACGCGGTGGTGGCCATGATGTGTACGCACCTACTTCCCAGACAAAGTCGCAAGATGCTTACGGTGGCTTTCGGCAGTCCTTTATTCTTTCTTCTGTAAGTTAAATTTGGAACTACGCGGCGGTTTGATTATTCATTGACTCGATACGCTTCAAAGATAACGTAGGTCCCAGACTACTCTGGCAGTTCTCCCGCTGATGACTTCATGTAGCTCGCCCTTTCACCTCTAATCGTTTCGTGCGTACGCCTCTTTTTATCGCTTATTCACGGAACTGACGCTTTACGATTAGCTACACGGTGGAGATCCTTCCATTCGCGATCCGTGCTAAAGGCTTCACGCTCTTCAACTTCGCTATCTCGCTTTCGTTGATTTTAAATCAGTGTGTTGCCTTTTCCTTCTCTTCCTAGTATCGTCTCATGAGGTTGAACCAACAGATATGTGAACCCAATCGCATTTAAAGCGTAGGTCCCGCGCTCTGGGTCCGGTGTCCCACCGTCGATTGATTGCTTTTCCATTCGTATGGTTAGCCTTGGATGGAAATACTTCGTGAGTTGTTTCAGGTCTAGAAATGTCCACTCTCGTTAAATTATTGGCAGCTTGTCTACGTCTCTTGGGTCTTTTTCGAGCTGGTCTTCTGTTATCTGTTTATCATCGAGACCAAGAATGTGAGTGTAGTTCCCTTCTCTCTTTTTTGAAATGAAGCTCACACCCAATCATTCTCTATAGAGGAGCTTGGAGGAGACGGCCGTGTAAGTGATACCATCTTGAGGGCAACCTTATCCTGATCAGTTTTTAACGCCATATGTTGCAGCCTATTCGACGGAAACGACGCCGTAAAGACGCTAGCCGAGAAGGCCGCTCTTCAAGCAGGCATCCTCAAGCAGGACAATCGTCGCCCCGAAGAAATTTCAGTCGCCAAACCCAGTTCTGAGAAGGAAGGAGTTCAACGTATAAATTGAAAAGTGGGTAGAAGAGGCTTGTTCAGGAACTCCGAATGATCACATCGAACGATGATGTCCTCCAGGAGAAAAATTTTCTCGTGTACATGTAAAAATACTGGTCCGTATTCAAAAGGAAAGAAATTTCGTACGTGTAAATACGTAACTAAAAAACTCAACACTTGAGCCATTGGAAGCTGAAGGTCTGCGCAAGTAATTCAATCGAGATGAAGGGAGACGCAGTACGATAGGTCGCTCACCTGCTTGAGGGTGGTGTCGATCTAGAAAAACAAAATGAGACATGGTCAGTTCGGACGGCCTATGCAACGCAAGTAAAGAATCACCGAATCCGTGGCAATGTACCCGCTCCCAGCTCTGTTGGCGCTATTGCTGACCCGGATATCGCTCCCGATGTTGAGGACGGTCGTTGCACCGCACGGACTCTTGACTTCGGCGACGAGATCGAAGGAATCACGGTAGGTGTAGTCTTTGCCTGTCCGATTCTTAGTAGCTTACGGGGGATGAAAGGTAATGCGACCTGCCGTCCACTGGTCCTGCTAGATTGGAGCGGGCGGTGGCTTGTTCAAGTTGACCTTGGACTGTTTGGAGTTAGGAAAATAGTACGATGGTGAAGTCGATGAATAGAGTATACAGTAATAGATGGTTTGCTGGGTGGCAGTCACTCTCGAGTCGAGGAAGTAGTAGCCGCGCTCAAAAATGGTGAGTTGTTCAGAGTTCTTTCGTCGAGGTGTCGAAAACGGACGTACATAATCGACCGTCGCAAGACCGAAAGAAAAACCATGAGGGATTCTGCAGAAGTATTAGCGACCCATTTGTGAAATCGAGGAAATGAAGCTCACGCAACGCCGAATGTGAGTTGACAATTCTTACGATTGGCACTGATGGGAATGCCGGGTCCGCCTCTGCCCAGTACTGACTGAAGGTGACGGTAACGGCGCTCTTGTCGGCTGGGCAAAAGAATAAAGTCAATAAGTAAGAGCCGTGGCGGATTCCATCATTTGATAGGCGAGTCGTTTAGACGGCTGTGGACCATCGAGGATAGCACATACCGCTGAGCTGATAGTACGCCGAACCAGGTGGACACCCCGATCCGTTGACTCCGAGGCTCGTGCTATGCGTGCGGAAGAAAGGAAATTTGTCAGTGAAGTCCTACGGAGATTCAGTGAGGCGAAGAAGAGCAGGCGTACATATTAAACCCAGGTGGAGTGGCGACCGCTTGAGCGGCGACGAGGGCCGGAGCCACCATAAGCGAGGCGAGAAGTGTTGTGATGAATTTGAACATTGGATGCGAAAGAGGAGCGACGAGCGCAAAGGTGAATTCGAGGGATGGTAGCAGTCTTTATACCGCCGCGAGATCACGTAAAGACAACCTGTTATCGAAACAGCGGGAGGACAAACGTGGTGAATTGGGTCTAGCTTCACAGGATGTTACCTCTTTCGCGCAGCACCCGGCCAGAAACAAGTACAGTAGATATGTCGGAAGATCGCTGCCAGGTGAAATGACTTTCTTGGCGTTCTATGCAAAGATCCTTCCATACCCCTACCGTCAGTTTACAGACGGCTCATAGCCGTGTAAAGCAAAATAAATTCCCTTGGCTCATCGAGTGACAAGTAGGGAAGAGGCGGTACCGACAGGACTACGAAACATAGCATGCCTTTCTGACTAGAATTTATGCTGAATATATGTGAGGAAGGACTCATTGCCGAAACTTGTTGCTCACCTGAAGGAAATCGCGATCCAGCCACTCAATGCCCTTCATTCCACGAAGTTTTCGCGACCCATGGGTGTCACAAGGAAGAAGATCGCAACCAAAGCCGCTACCTGGACGCATATCCTCCGTTGTATTCAAGTAGTCAGTTCTTCTTCAAAGCCGCCTATAGAGAGCACTTTCAACAGACAATTTCTCCGTACCATTGGAGATAATGACGTACTATTTGCTCTTGTGGGAGAATCATTCGAGGGAGGCTCGCTTTCAACGAGACAGGAATATCCTGTTTGGATCGTTAAAAAGAGCCACGGACAGGGTTGTTGGCATTCTCGAAAGACATATGGGTGGTCGGCCGGAGAGCGACGCCATAGAATTCGTCCGGAAGGTCACATTTAACCCAAAGAATGTCCGAGTAGCAAGATCAGTTGCACCGCGTCGACGCTTTTAAGGTGGCTGTCGAATGTCGATTAACCTCCGAGGAGCCTCTTGGCGACCCTAGGTTCTCTGATTTACAAGTAGTGAAGATCGGCTCCAGTTCCAGGGATGGGATAGAGCGGAATAGAGCGGATATGGAAGTGCAGACAGTCTGTGTTCGTTTCGCCGCCTTTAGGCACCGTTGCAGTACAGAGCCTCCCTTCCAGCGTCAAATCTTCCGCGGCCGCCCTCTGAGCCGAGTTGGGACATGTGGTCATTGTCCCTTCAAAGATGATTCTGAGGGCAGAGAAGGTGTGGGACTCGGAGTACTTTTGAGATAATGGTGGTTAGAAGGAACCTGAGTACTTTTGTGCGAACTCTTGAGTCTTCTTAGGGTTAAGGCTTAACTGCCCTGACGCATCACAAACTTCCCAATCTCGTCTTTTCCCGACGTTTTCTAATAAAAAGGCAAGGAGAAGGCGGAGTCTTGCGAATTTTCTCTCAGCAAGATGTCAGGGCCAGTGTCGTCGACATCGGGACTAGAAGTTCCCCGTCGGGAGGCCTGCAGCCTGCAGGATGGCTTCTCCCCTAATACGCTCTCAGTCTCAGTTTCCAATGAATCGGACTCGCCTCAGCCTCAATTCCAGCTGTCTCTCGCTTGCTGGATGTCTACAAACTCTTTGACAAAAATGATGGGACCCTAATTATAAAAGAAATACCTACAAGAAGTAAGCATGTAGGTCTGCGGATACATAGTGACTGATCTCCGCATCCCCTATCCCCAAGGACCCCAAGTCCGCATCTATCATTGCAATCCGAAACTGGCTGTTGGAGAGTTGTCGAGAGTGTGCGAAGCGGTCCTGCAAATGCCCGAATATCCTCTTCACCTCTTCCATGTCATCTCCCAGCTCTGCATGATGAAAATCGGGCGGCGGTGGCTCCATCTCCTCGTCGGTATCCTCGTCCGCGAAGTGCTCAATGTCCGGAACGCGAACAAAGAGGTGGATGTACTCCAAATTCGGGAGCGTCCCTGTAAGATCTTCCAGGACGTCGTCTAGCAAGGACCACGGGCACTCGGTGTCAGGGGGGATCTGCTCCTCCTCGACCCCGCAGTAGCTGAAAAGCTGCAAAGGCTCCTTCATCTCGCGCCAGGTAAAGCCGTAGAAATCGAGGTTGATTTGTATTCTTCGGAGGGATTTAGGTGCGGTTTCCAACAGCCCAGTGCATGGGCGCAAGGCGGATGTGACGGCCTCTAGCCGCTTTAGTGGGTCGGTGGAGGGCGTGTGGTCGGAATCTTCGTCACCGCCGCTATATTCCTGTTCATTCTCTTCTTCACCCTCTGGGTCTGTGGTTAGGATGCTTTTGAGGTACTCAGTTGGAATGCGTGCTGTGCAGATGAAGTCGGTGAGGTTCTCCAGCCTGCTCAGGCTCAGGACTTCCACGACGATATCTGGCTCTATGTTGCGTTGAATAACGTACTCTATATCTGCTTGACAATAGAAGGACGTACGAATATGCGACTGATTGAAGACGAGAAGAGACGCTGTATTGTGTTGCACAACTGCCAGCTTCTCCAGGGAATCTGCTGCACAGATTCCGATGAGATTCCACAGAATCACTTCGTAGCCCTCGTAGTAGACCGTGTCGCCCGGCTCGTCATTGATATCAAGCGGGCGAAGCGTAACGGAGCGAAGACCTGAAAGGGTGAAGGGGACCCAATCTGTGGCAGGTGGCCGTTCTTGCAGTAGCGCTGATAGGTGGGCGCCACACCGCGCAATCTCTAGGTGTTCGAGCGCTGTCTTGTCTGCCCGTGGGAGCTCCTGCTGCGTGGCCGTCAGCTGCCTGGATATCGAAAGTGGAATTGTTCAACGTCAGGGACCTGAGGCCGCTGAAGAGAGCGACAACGTCAAGAGCAATTTGATCAACGTTCCATAAGCGAAGGTCCACCACCGTTCGTCTTGAAAGCAGAACGCGGATAGATCGCTGTAGCGATCCATGCAGTGTCTGCCAATTGACCGCATTGGGATCGTCGCAGCCCAAGGTGAACACGGTGATTTGAGCCTGAGAGAGGAGGTCGAGCAGTATCGACGGAAGGGTTGATTCCTCCAGCCAGCCAGCTGCATCTCCAAGCATGGTCACAATAATTATGTTACGGATGTATGGGATCAGATGAGGGCTTGTCCTCAAGAGTGTGATAAATCGATGGATGTATCGACTGCGCAGCCAGCTGGAGTCGAAGCCGTGTGATGGGCGATATCGAGCGCAATCCCTGAGATCAAACGTCCTGAAGAGAAGTTTTCTAGAGCCGTGAACGAAGAGCCGAGAGGTAAGCGCACAAGCGCGTAGAGTGTTGAAGTCGGCGTTTTCGAGATATGACAGGATGTGCTCGACGATTTCCAGAGGTATCATCCCTCAAGCCCGCGAGGTTGGCGGTAGAAAAACGAGAAGTGGGATTGAGGTCGAAAGGAGATCGTAGCCGCTATTATAAGTTAGATTTCGATGAGCTAGGAAGGAGCCCTTTGTGCATTGTTGCATGCATCGGGATTATCGAAAAAGAAACAAAAACAAAAGCTTGCTGACGTCGGATGATCGTTCGATGGGGAAAGAAGGGACTAGTGGAAAATATATATTTCCTGGAGAGAACAGAGAAAGACGCTGACCCGCTAGGTCCATTCGAAGAAGAGAGTATAATTTGAAATATTCAGATGTAGAATTAGTGGGCTGGAATCAAGTTGGAATCAAGTTAAGAGCAAAGAGTGTAGCTGTTAGTGCCCCTATCTCGTGATCACGTGTGCGCCGAACTTTGACCACCCAACCTGTTTGTTCTCCAATAGGCTCGTGACCAGCCTGAATATGAGAATCGATACTGTAGATAACCGGCATCTCGGTCACTCTACAGTCGCCTAAAATTTGCGTGCTGGGTTTGGGGGTGTCAAAAAAACCAACAGTACTACTCAATAGGCAAGCATCTGAAGTACCTGTGCACCAAGTATCAGAAATTCAAGGGAGCTATTGAGACCTCCATGAATATTTTATTTCGATAGGTCAAAATCGGGCAAAACCAGGAAGTCGGCCAGGGCCCGAGACTAGACCGATTTGTATTGGTCCCGTACACCGGCTGTAACCAGGGTCAGTTATGCTTAGTAAGCTGATGATAAGATAACCTCGGAATACGAGGACAGTACTCGGCCACCTTGAATTGCTCTTCAAAGTTGGTCTGACCTCAGCGAAAAAGAGTTTCCAGTGAAAGTTAGACACCCCTACCATGAGCTGGTATGTTTATTTCGTGATTTCTGATGTTTTCCTTTCAGTTATTTAATTTGACATTTCTCATCACTCAAAACAAGCTTTTTCAATTGCTTGGTGTCTTATGTCTGGAAGAAAATTGCAAAAATTAAGGGGCCTTCTGTCATGCACATATATTTGCCTCACTATTCGTTTCACCCCTTCGTTTATGCAATAGATGCTTTGTACTAATAGAAATCAGCGGGAACAGTCCAATCCACCTCCAAAATGACACACTCTCCAATTTTCAAGATTGGAAGTGCAGCAGTCCTTCAACATAAGAGAAGTTTGCTTAATTATACAGTAGTAATTATGAAATTCTTAAGTCCAAAGTATCTTCCTGGCAATGTGTCATGTCGTCGAGAAAAGCCCTCCGGGACCACCAGAAACATGGTATCAAATAAGGAAATTGGGTGTCACCCATCACCAGACGCAAAGGGAGGCTCATTTCTCTGCGAGGAAAGGTGTTCTGTCTGCAAAAAAATACAGTTACATTGCTCTGATACTATTATACATGAATGCACAAAAAGAATGGAGTGAAACGAGCAACTGTGCCATCCACAAAGGCAATGACCGAGTAGCTGGTGTGACCGAGTAACCGGTTACATACAGTATTCCGGCTGGTCAATCTGAGTTTGAATTGCCGTAGCGTTCAGGTTGCACAGCTTTCTCCCTATTAAGCCGAGTGGTTCCGACCGACCCTAAACTCCCAGGTCACGTTGCACTCCCAATTTGGCGCAGAGGGTTTCCTGGCACCAGCCCTCCCTCCCTTTCGCTGCTCAATGCAACCACGGTCCTCTGCTGATATCCTCGCAAAGGCTACGACAAAGCCAACGACAAAGGCTACGACAAAGCCAACGACAAAGGCTACGACAAAGCCAACGACAAAGCCAACGACAAAGTCAACGACGACAAAGTCAAGGCGCAAGAGGCCAGCTGCTTCTACCAATGTAGAGCAGAGGCTCTCATTCTCATTCTCATCTCTCAGCGGCACCGGTCCTTCCAACACGACCAATACGAGCGAGCACCTGACGTTCGGAAACCCTGAACCAGCGCAGCACCAGTTCAACTTCCGTTTCAAGGCTTCAAAACTCTCTGCCTCCGCTCCTGAAGCATCTGGCACACACGACGATGGAGTTCTGAGGGACTTGGGTACAGTAGAGCAAGCCGTGGATTTCGTTGGTGGGGAGTTCAGTGGTGCCAAAGAACCAAAGTTGGCTCTCTTGTATTCAGCAAGATTTATACCAATATAATCTATTGCAGCCCCACCACATTCCCTCTCTCTGCTGCGAGAGCAGAAGAGCCCCCGCGAACCAGAATACTGCGTACCGAGCGTATCGAGAAGGTGCTAGCACTGTTGAAGGAAAACAGAATGAGTCCATTTGACTTGTTTGTTGAGATACCGGATTAATTCAAGCCAGAATATTTCGCTTATCGTTCCGAGCTCTATAAAGGGAGCAACAAAAAGCTCGACACGATCCTCAACCACATTGCTGGGGCTGAGGCGGGAAAGCGCAAGCTGTGGGCATGGATGCGACCTCATGCCCTATAGCTCGTCCGTGAAATTGTGGGCAAAGAGATGGACACTGTCAATAAAGCTAGCGTACTTCCAGGAATCGCATCAATCACGCCCGAATTTATTGAGACTTGGACCGTCGACAGCTCTCAATAGCAGGCTCCAGTTTTGATGGGTATTCTTTTCACTGCGGCAGAGACTTCCCTGGCAGCAGAGAAGAACAAGAACAAGCGTCCCGATGCGGTCAGTACATCTGTTTGAGCATCACCACGATTAGGACACTAAAGCCAGCTTGTAGACCTGCAACACAATTGTCAGACAATTAAGCTATCAACGGTCGAACCGATCGCTCGGATTTGCGACTGTCTTTGGACTTTTTCTTTGGACTAGTGGCTGCTCTCGACAGACTATCGACTCCCTTCATCGCTGCGGTCTTTCGGTCTGCTACTCATCTGTCCTCAAGTCCATTCAAACACTCGCGGACCAGTGCATGCAATTGGCGATTCAAGTCGGTACTGGTCTTCATGTCTTCTGCTATGACAATGTCAATATCAGCACTTCCATCCATGTCGAGCAGCGAGGATCTACTGGACCCGCGAAAGTGACATCAGGAACCTTCGGCGTCGTCTACAAGGTCCGAAACGGTCGACTAGAAGATATGAAGCTTGCTCCAATCCTTGAAAGGTTCAAAAAGGTTGAAGGACTCGATTTCAACCGCGATATTCGACCATCCATGGACCAGTTGAAGTCTTTTCAGACACAGCTGACGGTAGTTATTGTTCGCGTTCTGACAACCTACTGCCACAAGTTCAAGGATTACTCGCAAGTTCCCACCTTACAGCACCCCCCACGCCGTCGAATGCCTGCCGGATATAAGACTGAGCAATTTCCTATTCGAATAACGACAATTGAAGAAGCCACCGTTCGCGGAAACCTCTTATACCATGACGATGTCTACTTGAACCAGCTCAATAGACCACTGAAAGATCTTTGCGAATACGCCATTCCGACCTTCAACGACCAGTTAACTGCATCGCGCATTCGTTCCGGCCAAATTATGCGAGCTTGGGACGTCAATGCATGGACTCGGCGAGAAGTGCTTGTTTTGGGCTTTGGTTTATTTCATCTCTGCTTGAACCTTATCTGGGCATTACTGCATATCCATCGCGGCTCTCTCAGTGATGTTGGGAGTCTCGCATATTTTTTTGTCGTCATGGAGAAGACCAGGCTCGCAGGCGAACATCCCGACTACCACACATTGCTCTCAGCTCTGACCCAGATTGCAGACGGCATCATTCTAAATGCCTGGCGACACGAGACAGGTTATGACGACCTCGCCAGATTTGCAGATTCCAAGCCCTCCTCAGAAGAATTACTCAAGTTTGCGGAATCTATTCTTGCCAATCACGCTACACCCATGCCCGAGCCAAAATCTTCCAATGCCAAAGAGGACAGCGACAAGGATGAACTTAGTGATGAATCACTGGACGATGATCCTCAGACAGCTGTCCCTAACGTCCCAAACCCTTCCAAATCAAAAATCCCAGACCCAGGCAAGGACAAGGCGCACCAAAACCTTCGACTTCTTGCGCGGGACCTGCTGTACATGAAGGAGCTCATCCGCGCCATCTCGGATGGTGACATTGGTCGCATTGAGGATTTCCTTCCCCAGATCGCTATGATGTTTCGCGGAGCAGGAGGTAACAATTATTGTACGGAAATCTTACACTTCATCTTGAATCTGAAGCATGTTTGGACGCCGAAATTTGCGTATGTAACATTTTCAACACACCATTCAAGCTAATTAATATACAAACAGGGACATTATGCGCGACAACATGCTTGTTAATGTATCTGGGCTTGAGGGACATGCCATGCCTATTGACCTCAATATCGAACACTTGATTGGCGAGATCAAGGTACACTTTTCTTTCAATGAATGCAAAATAAATGTCTCAAATGGTTTTCAGCTACTATTAGAGGCCAAAGGACTTGAATCAACGTGGGAGAGGCTCGGAAATATATCTGCTGCGATTCATTTTATCAAGAAACTCAAAAAGCAAGTCGCACTGGCAATGAGTGCTTCTTATCAAAGTACGACACACACCAAACCCAACACCGACCACTTGGTTCATCGAGTCGCCAACAAAGTCAGTGAAGAGAAACTCCACGTCTATACGGAGAACCGACCTGGTAATGCCAAGGTGACAGCAACACCAAATATTCTTAGTGTTGGCGAGCAGAAACTTAAATCGTCAACTTTATCAACATTCAATCGCAAGGTTCGTGCAATGGTGGAAGGACGATGAGGTGGACACTCTCCCTCAACTTGCTCTCGCTACAGAAACAAACTTGGAGAATGTTGATGTCCCGGATGCAGGCTCGGATGATGAGTAGGAAGCAGTTTTAAATTAAGCAGTATTTACTTTTGAATTCTCGCGCTGCGACGTAATGCCATGTCCTGTCCGTTTCCAATCTCCGCAAGCGCCTCCGCAGCATAACACCTCGTAACTTCCTCCCGAATGCGATGTTCCACGTCCCTCGAGGCCTCTTCAAACCCTGCCTGGTCTTGTTCTACTCGCGCTCGCTTCCGGTGGACCTTCTTCGCCATGATGGTTTCCTTTCGAAGGGACTCGAGTTCTTGGTCGTAGGTGTTGATCACGTCAAATATGGACTTTGACCACTCATTTTGCCATTCTGGAGTCTCATTCAGCTCCAGGGTGATTTGAGCAGGAGAGTTGACAGTAGTTGGATGTAGCCGTGCCAGTTTTGCAATGCTTTTGTCATCAATAATGAATGATGAAGGTCGGACTGACCGCAATGTGTCCCTAGCATGGGCCTCGAAACGCCAGACATCCAGACGGGAGACTAAAGTTTCCCGCAGAGGCGCCTTACGGACCTTGATGCTGACCTTTCGTTTCGCTCGTACTGGTAGAATTTCTTCACGATCCAGCTCGTCGACATCGCCGTAGTAAAGCTGCAATGTCTTGCGATCTTGATAGAGCAGCCGACCCTTGAAGAAGTTCTTGAGGTGGAAATCCGTACCATCATGGCGACTGCAGCACCACCTTGCCGTGAAAGAAAGAGCTGGAAGAAATCGGTAAGTAATTGTCTTATGGAAGGGGAAGAACAAGTCTTGGAGTGTCTCGTCTCTGAGGTATGCTGCAAAGAGAGCTCGGAGACACGCTTCATCGAGTTGAATGATTTTAATCATGGCAACACCTAATCGCTCGCGTTTCTTGGATTGCGGGGAGAGTTTGATGACGTTGGGGTGATCAGGATCCGAGTCGACATCGAAATTTATTTCCGAGAGGTCAATCAGGTCCACCCAAGGCTCGTACATGATGAGGAATAAAGCATCCTTCAGCCCACGGCCTCCTCGACCGCCTCGTTGAAGAGTTGTAGGCATGTCGCGAGATATGCCATACTGAATGACAACCTCTATATCAGGGATATCCAAACCCTTCAGACACCCAGGTAAGTGTGAAAAGGAAAGAAAAGAGGTCAGACATGCCGTTGAAGCACCCTCTGTTGCATGCAATATTCTGCAATTTCCATCGGGGTTCTTGAAATCATCGTATACCTGAGTCAGATACTCTTTCGACATTCCGCCGTGATAATGTGCAACCAAATCTTCGCCTTGAAGGTTGTCTGGTAGTCGTCTGTTGTGATATGCTGCAGCGTCAGTTGTCAGGTCTGTACTGTCATGGAAAACAACAGTTTTTGGCATAATCCAGTCAGCAGGGTAGGGAATAGGTACAAGGAAGTCCAGATTTCGTAGGTCTGAGAGTTCGCCGACGATTGGGTGTGTTGCATAAACAATGTTTGGCCGGTTGCTGGTTAGTTTAATCGATAGAAGACGCTCTTCGTCAAAAAGCAAGCTCGAGATGATAACTGCTTTGATGTGCTCAGGCTGAGTCCCGGAGAGCGCTTGTGTCGGCACATGGTGTCCAATCTTCACACGAAATTCGCCAATACGGCCCCAGGCCGGACGAAAAGCAGCGAGCCCGTAGTGTCCGTGACCAGCCGTGTAGATGAAATGCGCCTCATCGACATGTATGCGTGAGATGAGCTTCGCAAACTTGCGATTATCGTCAATCAACCGCGCTAGCCGAGGTTTGTGTCCATTTGTTGTGCACAGTTGTTCATGTTGGACGACGAGGACACCGTAGACTCCCTTTTCAATGTCCTAGAAGCACCAGATAGGTAACAGCCAAGAGAAGCCATGTGTCATGAGCAAACCTTCCAGAGATCCGGGTTGTTGGGAGTGTCCTTGTTAATTGCAATTGTGTTTATGCCGTATTCCTGGAACGTGACAACCTGCACAGCCTGTAGATGCTTGAGAGGCGAGAAAACAAGAGAAAGAGTTTCCGGAGCGACGAGATAAGGCAAGACCATGCACAGAGTCTTTCCGGCATTGGTGCCGACATCGAGGAGTGAGTCTCTGTTCGTCAAGATACCAATTGTTGCCCGTATTTGGAAGTCTTGTCACAGCCAGTTAGAACAAAGAGGAGAAGGCAGGCAAGGTATCCAATAGTTTGCTCCTTCTCGTTGAACTCCGACCAGAAAGCATCAGACACAGGTCGCCGGTGCTCGGGAATTAAGGCTGAATAGGCAAGCGGCAGCAGTTCTGGAGAGAGTTTTCGTATCTCGTGAATCTCCGGAGAGTCTAGCGCCAGCATCTTGAGCAATTCTGGCAAAGACAGCTGCAGATAAAGACAGAAAACAGACGTCGAACATGGAGCGACGCGTCGTTAGGGGCTTGCGACGCGGTTCGTTGACTGGAACGTGACTTGGAAGTTTAGGGTCGGTCGGAACCACTCAGCTTAATAGGGAAAAAGCTGTGCAACCTGAACGCTACGGGAATTCAAACTCAGATCTACCGGTCTGTATATCGACAGATTACACCTCACTCACACTCTGTCATATACAGACGGTCACCGGTCTAGTTCTCCAACCTTCACAATGACCACCATCAGTCCGAGGCGAGTTCGACAATAGGATCGTCCGAGTCAAGGTCAAGGCGACTAGAGTTGCTTTCTCAAAGCCCATTCCTTCATCTCACGGCGTCACGGCGTCATGGACGACATTTCTATTGAGAGAATGCGAATATCGACGGCCCTCAAGGTTGGTGGTGGTGGGTCTTAGTCTGCACCGGTATTGCTAACTCAACACTCTTCGATATACTCAGATGGTTGATGGTGCGTGCTTTTAGTCTAGACAATTTACTGAAATTGAACAATAACTCTTGCAGTCGCCGCGTGTACGGTCTTCATTTGGGACTACCTGCTCACCTTGGGCATGGAGGTTGAGTATGTGTGGCCAGGTCGATGGACGATAATCAAGGCTGTGTATCTTTTGCAACGCTACCTGCCGTTCATTGATACCCTGTGGATTGCCCTTCATGGTATGCCTGCATCTTGTTTTACATTTGTCGGAATAGAACCGAGTAGTTGGTACTCGGACATTCCGCCCTCGAAGAGTCGTCTCCCGACTCCTCGAGTACATTCTCGTTTATTTCCCTTAATGGACAATTACTTAGAATAGTATTTATTAGAATATTCTAGTTACTTTGTACGTAGGTATATAAGCCCTCTCAACGGGCGCTAAATACTAATCGTGTCTTAACCACCAACCACCACCACTGCGCCAACAGGTTATGGGCCCCGAAGCCTAAACGACACACTTACCATCTTATTCGCCCTCTACTCCCACACGTTTATCTTATCTACATAGTTTACGTACATCACCGCCAAAATGTCGGACGATTACACTAGCGGATCGTATCGAATGGAGTTACTGAAGGCAACCAATTGGATGCCGTGGAAGCGCCGTATGCTTGCGGTATTGGTTGACCTCGGACTGGATGGTTACATCGCGGAAGGTGCAGCACCTCCAGGATCAGCAGACCCCAAAACTCCCACCAGTGCTGAAGCTGCAGCATTGAAGAAGTGGAAAGCCGGTGATGCGAAGGCGAGATGCCGAATCAAACTCGCGATCAGCGATTCCGAAATGGTTCACGTTATGGGAGCCGAAACGGCACGCCAAATGTGGGAACAACTTACCACGGTCAAGGAATCCAAGGGCCGACTCGGAGTGTTGGCCACCCGCCGAACACTATATCGGGCGACGGCGGAGGAAGGATTTGATATGGCAGAGCATATCGCGAAGCTACGCCAGTTGCAGGAGGAACTGCACACAATGGGTAGCAAGATCTCGGATGAGGATTTCGTCATGATCCTTATCACATCCCTTCCCGAGTCATGGGATAATTACACTTCATCTTATCTCGGATCTAGTGGCAATAAGCCGGAGCTCAAATCTCAAGAGCTCGTAGCAATTTTATTGGAAGAATCCCGACGACGGAAGGAGCGAGAAGTTGGAGGAATGTCACTCCAGGCCAAAGGAAAGGCCAGACCCAACATTGAATGCCATAATTGCCACAAGATGGGGCATTATGCAAAGGACTGTTGGGCAAAAGGGGGAGGACGCGAAGGAAAAGGTCCGAAGACTCGAAAGGGTCCGAACCGGGCCGGCCGGACGAATCAAGCCAAAGAAAAGGTCAACGACGACCTTAACGAGGTTTTGTACATGGCTATCTCCAATGCCAGTACAAAAGAAATCTCAAAATATGATTGGCTATTTGATTCGGGCACAACATCTCACATCTGCACGATGCGCGAAGCATTCATTGACTATCACCCGCTCAAGAACTCGTCTGTTCACGGCGTGGGTTCCCCAACAGTGGCACAGGGCCGCGGGACCGTATTAGTCAAATTTTCCGTAAACGGGAAAAACCTGAAGCATCGATTACGTGATGTCCTTCACGTGCCAGATTCCCCGAATTGTTTATTGTCCATGAGCGCACTCGATCGGAGTGGCGGACATGCAGAATTCAAGAATGGGAAATGTTTCCTAAGAGATAAAAAGGATAATCTCATTGGGATAGGACATTTAACCCATGATTTATACTTGCTCGAGGCACGAGCAGTATTACACGAGCAAGAGCGAGCAAATCTCGCTACCTCGGCAAAGCTCTCTTGGGACCAATGGCACCGACGGTATGGCCATCTATCAATTTCGTCCCTACAGAAGCTTGATCGCGAGAATTTGGTCAATGGCATGACCATTGATCAAGCTTCTATCCCATCAAAGACTTGCGAAGCTTGTATTCAAGCCAAGCAAACTCATAAACCCTTTCCCAAGGAAGCGGAGAATCGTTCGGAGACTCCGGGGGAGAGGATAATGAGTGATTTGTGGGGACCAGCTGGTGTGAAGTCTATTGGAGGATTTAAATATTATATTTCCTTCACGGATGACTGCACACGATATGGCCATGTTCTATTTTTAAAGGAGAAGTCGGAAGCCTACGATCGCATCCTTCAGCAGGTCGCCAAGATAGAGCGCCAGTTTGGGAAATATCCCCGGTGGATGCGCTTCGATAATGGCCGTGAATTTGTCAATACACGGGTAAAGGAATGGGCAGCCTCTCACGGAATAGAGTTAGAGCTTACAGCACCCTACTCGTCATCACAGAATGGGGTGGCTGAAAGGTTCAATCGCACTCTATTAAATTTAGCTCGGGCAATGCTTATCGCAAAGAATTTACCATCGTTCTTGTGGGACGAGGCAGTTTCCCATGCGAACTATCTTCGCAATCGCGCCCCGACACGGGCTCTTGATGGCAAAACACCATATCAGGCATGGTTCGGGAAGAAGCCTGATGTGTCTCACTTGAGGGAATTCGGATGTGATGTCTGGGTACTCGACGAAACCGAGAATCTTTCAAAATTGAAACCAAGATCACGGAAAATGATCTTTGTGGGTTTCAATGATGGTTCTAAGTCCATCCGCTATTATGATCCCTCAAAACGAAATATCAAGTCATCAAGAAATGTTTCATTCAATGAGAATGAAGAGCCACATGAGCTAACTATTACAGAATTGCCCGGTTTGCGGTCTGAGGGGGAGCAAGGGAAGATCTCGACATCCTCGCAAACCATTCCCCAAAAGGAAACCGCACAACAAGCGCCCATCGAAGAAGCCGAGCCGCTCGCGGAAACTCCGGAAACACCTCAAGAGCCAGACTCTCGTCAACTCCGAGAGAGGAAGACACCAATTGATTACAAGAAGCTGGCAAATCCGGACTCAAAGAAGCCTGCAGCAAGATTGCAAGGGCAAGAACTCAGGTATACTCCCACTCCCTCGCCTCCACCTGATCCTACTCGTCACACGAAGGCGTCCCAAGCTCGGGCACGTGAGCGTGCACACTTCGCGCGATCAGGAAACTATACCACATGTCCCGAAGTATCTGATGATAAATTTGTCCGGGAAATAATTGAAGGGTACATGTTTATTAATAGCCCTACAGAACCGGACATCCCACGGACTGTGGACGAGGCTTTACAAAGCCCGGAGGCATTCTACTGGGAAGCAGCAAATTAAAGCCACCATCAAGAAGATGAATACATGGGAGGAAACCGACCTACCGGAAGGAAGAACCGCGATAGGATCAAGATGGGTTTTCGACAAGAAACACGACGAGCACGGGAATGTCATTAAATACAAGGCTCGAATAGTCGCACAGGGCTTCTCACAGAAGCCAGGGACCGATTACAGCAACGACGGCACGTTCGCACCGGTTATGCGCTTTGAAACATTGCGCACCGGACTCGGTCTCGCAGCAATAAATGGATGGGATCTCCGTCAATTCGACGTGAAGGGAGCCTATTTAAATGGCTACCTCGAGGAGGAGATTTATATGCGACAACCTCCAGGTTTTGACGACGGTACAGGCCGTGTCTGCCTGCTTAAACGATCCCTCTACGGCCTCAAACAAGCTGGAAATGTTTGGAATAAAGAATTCGACCGAGCCATGCAAGATTTGGGATTTAATCGACTCAAATCCGATTCCTGCTGCTACCTGCGTCGCACGGGCGACGATTTCGAGATCCTACTTGTATGGGTCGATGATATATTGTCCATAGCGAGTACAAGCGCCCGAAACGATGTTGTGGAGAAGGATCTAGGCAGTAAGTTCGAAATTAAAGCACTGGGACGACCCCGAATGCTTCTTGGAATGGGAATGGCTCAAAATGATGAAGAGCATACCATATCCCTCTTCCAGACTGCCTACATCGACTCCTTGCTCAAGAAATATGGTCTAGACGACTGCAACTCTGTTACGACGCCTCTAGACCCCAATGTTCGTCTCGACGACGACTCAGATGAAGAAACAAAGCCAGGAGTGAACCAGGACCAAGACGAGCGCTTATCTGTCGGACACGCGACGCTTATAGGTTCTCTGATGTATCTGGCCATTGGAACGCGTCCAGATATCGCATACGCCGTCCAGAAGCTCGCCCAGTTCACTCAGAACCCCAAACCGAAGCACTGGACCGCTGTGAAGCGAATATTTCACTACCTCAAAGGAACTCGTACCCATGCACTTACTTACAGCGGGTCTGACGACTTTACTACCCCAGAACTCAATATTTATTGCGACGCCGACTGGGGAAGCGACGCGAACCGTAAATCAGTGAGTGGTTACGTTGTCACACTCGCTGGAGGCGCAGTTTCTTGGAGTTCCAAGAAACAAACCACGGTAGCACTCTCAACCGCGGAAGCGGAGTATGTAGCTGCTACTCATGCCGCAAAACAAGTCCTGTGGCACCGTTCTCTGTTCACAGAACTTGGAATTGACTTACCAACGACCTCGACAATCTTCTCGGACAACCAGGCCACCGTTTCTATCGCACACCACCCGGAATTTCATGCACGCACGAAGCACATCGACATCGCGCTTCATTTCCTCCGTGATCTCGTACAGAACGGCACCCTCAATCTTGTGTATATCAACACGAACAACAACTTAGCCGATCTATTCACGAAAGGACTACCTAGATCTGTACATCAAGATCTAACTACGGAGATCGGCGTTCTGTCCGAGTAAGGGGGAGTGTCGGAATAGAACCGAGTAGTTGGTACTCGGACATTCCGCCCTCGAAGAGTCGTCTCCCGACTCCTCGAGTACATTCTCGTTTATTTCCCTTAATGGACAATTACTTAGAATAGTATTTATTAGAATATTCTAGTTACTTTGTACGTAGGTATATAAGCCCTCTCAACGGGCGCTAAATACTAATCGTGTCTTAACCACCAACCACCACCACTGCGCCAACAACATTGTCAACCGCATTAACAGCATCATTCCTTCTTTCCTTCTTAGTTCTTTTCGGGACGAACCTCAGTCCTACGATGTGTAGTCGCCTGAATGCTGCTGGAAGATCCCTGATGTGCCTAGGGTTGGCCAGCTCGGAGTGTGCGTTTCGTCTACCTTTCGTCACGTTTCTCGCTTACTTACCCTGACCCGTATCCTAGTGATTCTCACTCTCCGTGCATGGGCGGTGTGGGACAGGAACAGGGATCTGGGGATCATTCTCCAAATTCTGTTCGCCGCATGCTTCCTTCCAACCGCGCCCATTCTTTACGTCTTCCTCAAATCTGTTGAATGTACGCGAAAAGTGCCGCGATTCGACCGGTCTCACATGGCTTATGTTGCGATTCAGATATTGATCTTCCTCCACCGACCGAGGGTTGCATTCCTGTTGCTGGGAAACAGATTATCATAGTCAACTGGGCACTCTTGTTGGTATGGGATGCTCGTGAGTCCTGCCCAGACGGCTTCTGTGTTCGTCCTGGACTCCTGCTTACTGACTCTTGTCAGTTATTCTGATATTGATGGCAATTCCCGCTTTCCACTCTTGTAAGCACCATGATAGCTGGGTAGAATTGGTCTTGACCATTCTATGATACAGTTCGCTTCAAAAATAACTCCTCCCTCTACCGCGCTGTATATACTGAAGGCGAGCCTCTTCGCTTTTTCTTTTTCAGAAGTCTGATCCATTTTCAAATTGTCTGATGCAGGGATCTCCTACTACCTCTACCTCTTCAGTACGCTCTTTCTCAGTCATCCCTCTAGGTGCCCGAGGTCTGACGCATACTACTCTACAGTTATCTCGACTCTCAATATTGTTCTTTCGGGTCTGACATCGGTATGTCATACCGTTCTGCGTGCTACGAGGAGTCCACTCCACTAACTGCTATTCAACAGGTTGATATGTCGTATCGCTTCGTCGTCATAACGTACGTCACCTTAGTCTTCCACCGCCCCCGATCGACTGGCTCTCAGCTTCTAAGTTTCGTGCCTACTAAAAACCATTCGTCCAGAATGTCGCGTTGCTTCCACTCACTCCTGACAAGTCGCGTCCTTCTCCATATCCGAGCTAGCAATGACAAAGATATGGCGCAAGAGTCAACCGAAGTTGTCCTGGTCGACATGGTTCCGTGACGCCCCCGCATCGAAAGCTTTGGCTTCCATACCCTTGGCACAAGAGTACCCGTCTCTTACGCTGAATTCAACTTGAGGCAGAGGCAAGGCTTCAAGCTTCAAGGTTTCCAGCCTTCATATCGGGCTTTGCCTCTCCCGGATGGCCTACAGAACTTGGCTTCTCCCAGGAAGTCTAGGATTTGAAGGCCAGTTCACGGTCTCGCAGTCGCAACCGTCATCCTGGTAGTCAACCTGGCTATTTGTCGCTCCTCATAAAGCCACGGCGGCCTCAGGGAACGAGTATAATAATATTAGCTTTCCCACGTGACTTACCAGCGAAAGTCGAACCTTGTAGAGAAAGAGCAGAACGATTGTGAGGCCTAAATGGAGAAATATTCGATTGAAGATCTTATCGTATCGCACTCTGTGTACCGTTGTACGTCACTTGCTCGCAAGTTCTAAAGTTGAAAGCTCTTTTCACAACCGCCATGTTCATTGCGCTTCCGCCTGAGATAATCCTTCAGATCCTTTCATACCTCCCCGTTTCTTCTTTTTCTGCCCTATCTGCCGTGTCGCACACATGGAATAATCTTTTCGTCGACAACGAGACCGCGATCTATCGCGAAGCTGCTCTTTCGCATGGATTCGCCGATCAACGAACCGCTCACCCAGACACCACCGTGCTGGGCGAGAGGTATTCATATCGTGTGTTGCAGCCAGGGATGAGCTGGAAGTCGTTGTGTAAGCCCCATCTCGTGACGTTCATAACGCTAAGCCCATCGTTGTTGCAGGCAAGACTCGGATCCGGGTTCGAAACTCTTGGAATGGACACGCGCCGTCTACCATAGTGCCTCTTCCTCTTAAAATTACCAATCATGTTGCACCTCCGGACAAAGTTCATCACATCAAGGTTGACGAGAGGAGAAGATTGCTCATGACCACCTCGCAGGAAGGAGGTCTGCTTGTTATGGATATCGACAGCGGGTCGGTGTTGTTCGTATTGCCTCCTGTACGTTCGCTTGCTGGTCGACCCTCCTCTACTACTCATCTCTCACATCAAACCACAGGGATACGTGCATGCTTATGCTCACATCGAGTACTCGGAAGGCTACATGATCTTTGATCGTCTGGACAGCTCTCGCGAAGTCTGGCGACTGCAAGGGGTCGACCCCTCGCCAACAGCTGTGGATGCAGCCTCACAGCCCGGTCAAGAACAGCTGGAGCAATTCGAGGTAGAGACGCACATAGCCCGACGACTACAATCCGCGTCAACCCCCGACTCACCACCTCTGAGAGGGTGTTTTGAACCCCATGCGTTGCTGATCGCGCCTGAGGACACTCGCGCCTCTCGTTTCGCCTATCCAACCTTGTTGTCCACTTCTTCTGAGCGTGCGTACCTGTGGGATGTTCCGACGGGTCGTGTGGTGGAGGTTATCGAAGGGGTGAACGTTCTTCCTTCCGGGAATCTATCTTCATCTCAGAGCGCGTCCGAGACGGAAGACAACGGACCCATGGAAGAATACGATGAAGACGACCGGAGTCCGTGGCTTTCCGAGCACCTGGGTACAATGGTATACGTGGACCATAGTGTCGATTACATCTTCCTCGCTGGCTCTTACGCTGTGTGGGTGTTCGCCAAATCTCAACTCACGGACAATGCACCATCTACCAGCTCGAGGAGCACCACCCATCCCGGTCGACTAGTGCTGAACCTCCGGTCTATTCGTATACGGTACGGACGGTGGTCATACTCGCCAGAACGCAGCAGTGGAACCCAAGATGAAGGCTCGGCTCTCCTGTGCTATCAAGTTCACGTCAATACGAAGGAATGGCCCGACGACTACCGCAAGCTTATTGATGAATTCGTCGCAGGTATGAGGCCTTGATTGTCGAAAGCCTGGGCAGTCACTGAACCCTGGAGTAGTTCATGTCTCGCCCTGTGGATCACACTTCGCGGCTCTCCTTTCAGGTTGCCGTCTCCTCATTGTCACAAACTTCAAGCAGGTAAAGGGAAATCCCAGGAGCCGCGATCATGAAAGGAGCTTGTACGAAAGGACATTAGATATTCAATTGGGCTCGCCCCGGACAGCGACAAGTATTTACCTTGCGTACGAAGAAGGCGATGGAGGGGAAGGAAGGATCGGTGTCGTGACGGTGCGTTCACATCTTCGATGGACGTTCGATAACCTGACGCCTGACGCCTGACTCCATTCTGCAGTCAAGTGCGGTTTTTATCATAGTCGTACCTCCCTTTGAGGCGCTGACACCGTCCTCGGAACCTCCCAAAATCCGTATCGCCCGCGTCAAATCGTTTATGAACCCCGGCTGCCTCTCCTCCATCTCCTGCCTTATGCTCTCAGATACTGGTCTCTTCCTCAATTGGGACCCGAAGGACGACTCTTCGTCAGACTCTGGAGATACATCTAAACAGCAAGAATGGGAAGAGGAATTTGAGAATAGCCTGCGTGATATAGGACGGCTTGACGAGGACTGTGTCGACCGTGCGTTCATTTTGTTCTTGGCTACTTCTTCGATTTTTTAACGCGATATCGACCTATTGTGTAGACTACAGCAATGGAGACATGTTCGTCGTGCCACTCATTGCAGGTAAGCAAACCCTGGGTCTGCATCGTGGCGTGAGGATGACCTCATTCTGTCTGGATAGCTGCCGAGGCAAACGTGTCCATGGTTTACGCTGTCAACTTCCTGCCATCTGAGACCTGACTGGCACGAGCCAATTGCGATGTTTATATTCCGTCTGGAATTACGATGAGAAAGTCATTTCGGTGAATGTCCCTCGTGCTCCGTCTAAGATTGGTTCACGCCGAAGTTGTCGAAAATTGCTAACCTCTCAACCTTCAGCTCAGATGTTCTCATCGATGCTTGTGTAGATAGTCTATGGTCAACAACGATTTTATTTCACGAGGCAAACAATATCAGAAGCCCAGCTCTCTCAGTGATTCTCCTCTCCTGTCTCCTTCCTACGTCTCCGACACTGAGTATTTACCCCTGGCAAGCACCCTTACCGGCCTTGTGGCAGCAGGTCACGAACTTGCCCCAGCTCGGGAGGTTGGTCCAGTACTTGCGGCTCGAGCTCGACTGGTAGCCTGACGCGCCTTGGGCCTCACCGCAGGCGTAGGTCGGCCCGACGCCAGGGAGGACGCAGTCGGCATTGGAGCCCTTGGTGGCGTTGCACCAGAACTTGCCTGTGACGGCGTAGGCAGACGACGCGCTCATGGCGAGGGTGGTAGCGACGACGAATTGCATGGTGTGGTACGAGTTGTGGTGACGCTTTGGGGTAGAAACTGGGAGTGTAAGCTCGTCAGGGAATGACAGGATGTTAATTTAAGAGAAGACAGGCTTACCTATTGAGCGTTGTGCAGGATGTTTCTGAGGACCTGTCGCCGGCTTTTACCCTCTTTTATACCCTCAGAGGTCTATTCGGATAGAAATATCCCATGCGTCGATCGGGTGGAGCAGCGCGGTCCAGCACGGCATCATGATCTTTACCTCCGAGGCATTGATAAACATATTGCACCCTCCTTCACTTTAGCGCGCAAGTTTCCATCGTCTTACCTGTACTTGTCTTGGTTAACTATCAGATTCTCAAAGTTTTCTTGAAGGAAAGGAGTCGTGTTGGGCTGTCCTGAGACTCTAAGCGCCTCCAAGAAAAGTCAGAGTCATTCAAGCACCAGGATGCTGTGGGAGAAGCTACTGCGGAGAGCTGCATGGCCTTCGTAATTCATTCCAGGTTGTGCTAGGAATGAGGTATCGATCAAAATTTTCTTCACATCCAGAACTCCCCGCCACATTCGCGAAATTGAAATTCGAATACAAATCACTGAGTATAGCCGCCATCTGTACTAATTTTGGAACGTGGGAGTGTTGGGTCGGCGGTCAAACGGTCATCGATCATCTGTACATGCTTTCTCGTGTCGATCGAATTCAAGAAACTGGGAAAGCAAAATAAACAAGGCAGACACACCATATAGCCCGCTACACTCCAGAGGCCGAGTTTAAAGCGCGACGATTCCCGATCTCAGGCTCCACAACTTACGAGCATGGCACTGCCGCACTGGCTTGAGAACAATTGTGAATGCACCTTTGCAAGGCTGACAGTGAGGTTGAGAGATGGAAACTGCAATACTAAGAGGGGATGAATAATGGATTGGACATTACTAAGGAGGGGAGCTCACCTGAGAGTAGATGTCGTATTCTGATGCACTCTCTTCCAACATTTTACACTCCGTCGACCAGCCGATGGTGGATTGCCGAACTTAAGGTCTCCTCGCATTCCATGTGGGACCACCCATGATTTCTCAGGGATATAAATCAAAGCAAATGCCATAGTGACAAAAATATTGGTATGAGACGCATGCCTCCTCGGAAGCTCCTATCGAAATCAAGCAGTCCATGACTCGGACTAGAACTGGAGTCTAGAAAGGATTCATTCCTTCAATATTGCGCTCGAGAGACTATATTTCCGAGTTTATGGAGAGCGTTGACATGTCGTAAGTTCCTGAATAGCACAGTGTGGCGAGCGGACGAGTACGCCGGCCCGTTTACGGGTGCCGTTGGCTTGGATGTTCTCGCCCGGTGCGATCAGGCGCCGATCCAGAACTCCCACGCTCCAAATTTAGTACACATCACCGCCTCGCCACATTCGCGAAATTGAAATTCGGATGCGAATCACTGAATACGGCAGTGCTGGGGAGTTCAGAAAATGAAGATAAATTTGATCGCTACTTGATCCCTAGTACAACCTTTATCGAAGTCCATATGGCTCTCCACTAACATTTCTCACAGCGTCCTGGAGCTTGAGGTCATGACTTGGACGTACCTCATGTTTTCTGAGCATCGCGTTCCAGGTGAAACATATACGAGTGAAAAAAAATATTACCCGTCAAGACAGATTCCGTATACCCTTGCGACGGTATTGAACGGCAGGTTCCAGGAGTCTTTGGTTATGAGCACGACAGGACAGACACAAATTGTGCCGCCTGCCGCTCTGGGGATATTCTTCTACGAGATCTCCACTCGAAGAGAGGTGTAATTATTACGTGGTACGGGTGGGACTTCACGTGTGGAGCTGGTGTCAAACGCATCCTACTCACATGGACCCCATCTTATCCGAACAAGACATTTCTTGGAGGCGCTTAGGGTCTCTTTGCCGCGTTTCAGAGACGATAGGGCCGATACGTGCCATCCGATACGTGCCATAATTCCAAGGAACTTGAGACACTCTCCATGCATGGCTGGCCCAAAATGTCTTCTTTCCTTAGGAGCAGATGGCTAACAAAGACAAGTACAGGTAAAACGATAGAAACTTACGCGCTAAAGTGGTGCAGGGTGCAATATGTTTATCAACGCGCGTTGGAGGTAAAGATCGCGATGCCGTGCAAGACTCTGCTTCTTCAACCGGTCGACGGACGGACTATTTATATCCGAATAGACCTTTGAATGATATAAAAGAGGGCCAACACTGGCGACAGACCCTCAGAACGATCCGGCACAACGCTCAATAGGTAAGCCTGTCCTCTCCTCTTAACATCCTGTCCTTCCCTGGCGAGCGTCTACCTGCAGTTTCTACCTCAATGCTTTATACCGAACCATGCAATTCAAGAACCTCGTCATCGCTATTAACCTCGCCATGAGCGCCTCGTCTGCTTATGCCGTCACCGGCAAGTTCTGGTGCAACGCCACCAAGGGTTCCAATGCTGACTGCATCCTCCCTGGCGTCGGCCCGACCTACGCCTGCGGTGAGGCCCAAGGTGCGTCGGGCTACCAGTCGAGCTCGAGCCGCAAGTACTGGACGAATCTCCCGAGCTGGGGCAAGTTCGTGACCTGCTGCCACAATGCGGGAAAGGGAGCTTGCCAGGGTTAAATACTCCGCGGAGACGCAGGGAGGAAGGAGAGGAGAATCACTCAAGAGTCATGGAGCTGTGCTTCTGATATCGTTTGTTTCATGAAATAAAATCGTCGTTGATCGCAGAATTTCGAAACAAGAATGGATGAGAACATCTGAGCTGAAGCCTGCCAAAGTTCGACACGGCAACTCCGACGATTTCGAACAACTTGAGACTGAGGATGAAGAACCTTCACCGCGACAATTCTCCAGTCGAAATTCCAAGAGGAAAGAAACATCCAAATTGGCTCATGCAGATCAGGTCTCCGAGGGTAGGAAATTGACTGCATAAACCAGGGACACGTCTGTGTCATCAGCTACCCAACGCAGACCCAGGATTTGCTTGCCTACAATTTCCGGGGCGATGGCCATGCCTCCAGCGTTCTCGTCTACCAGATAGGTCGCGTACTCGATGTGGGTATATGCGGGAACGTATGCCTGCATCTAGAGTTGAACAGTAGGAGGATATCGGTCCAGAATTGGCGTACAGGCGACAACATCAATAAAGCTGATCCGTTTATCGATATCCGTTACGAATAAACCTCCTTCCTGTGAGCTCAGGTCGTCATGAGCCATCTCCTCGACCTTGATGCAATGCACTTTTTCCACGTATACACGTTGGTTGAAGTTAGGCGCGTGTCCATTCCAAGAGTTTCGAACCATGATCCGAATCTTGTCTGCAACAACGATAGGCTTAGTATTATTTACGCCACGAAATAGGACTTACACAGTAACTCCCAGCTCATCCCAGGCTGAAACACGCGGTGTGAATAACGTTCGCCCAGCACGGTGGGGTCTGGGAGAGCAGTTCGCCGATTGGCGAATCCATGCTTAAGAGCAGCTTCGCGGTAGGTCGCGGTCTCGTTCTTGATGAAGAGATTATTCCATACGTGCGAGGTGGCAGAGAAGGAAGAGAAGAAATGGGAAGATATGAAAGGATTTAATGAACAATCTCAGGTGGAAGCGCGAGGAACACGGTGGTTTCAGAAAGCTTGTGAGCACATAGCTTGTGCGATAAGATAAGATCAATGACGACATGTACCAGGCATCTCTATACCGGATGTATATGTATGTAACTACTCTACTTTACAAATTAGTCGGGGCGTTGGGCCATTATAATAATGAATTAGAATCTAGATTAGTACGATGCTCTCTATTCGCACTCGGCGAGCGCTACAGCACTTGTGTGGTTGGGGAGGCGTCTTCTCCATCCTCGATCCTTCATCTCGCGTTGCGACGTGAGGGAGACCGAGACACCCGATGTCGATTTCTTCAGGACCTTCCGAATCTGCTCTCGGACGACATGGTGCGCCTCATCATCATCAACGTGCAGACAACACCTCTTCAATGTCCCAGCACGGGATTCCAGGAAATCGAGAAACCCGTCCAGCGGGAAATCGGCTATGGTGGTCGCGCTCAGCGCGTAGATGACCATATCGATTAGGATGGTCTTCAGGCGAGGGACGTGGCATTGAAGAACAGGCGTCCGGTTATGGAGGGCATCGAAGACGGGAGCGACGTCGGTATTAAGTTCCAGTTCGAGCTCGATAACATGAGGGCTGTTTTCAAGAAGTTGGTGGAAGACCTCTATGTGGATCGGCCAGGCCCTAACGAGGGAAAGAAGGCCAAGTTTTGACATCTGGGCGAACATGCCGTTCGCTCTCGGACCCCAGAGGTCGAGGTGATCGGGCATCGAGGACCCGATTCGAAGAGTTGAGAGAACCGAGGTCTCGACCAGGTTGAACACAGTGGGGTTGACACAGCCCTCAAATGTCAGCGTTAAATCGGTGAGGTAAGAGAGTAGGGATTTCCCTCCGTCTAGCATTTCGTCGCATGCGCTGAAGGTGCCTTTGAGATGAAACATGCCGAACTGCAGCAAGGTGCAGTCCTGCATGGCCTTGATCCAATCCTTGACATCTACAGATTCTAGAGTCAAGTAGGTGAGACGGTTGAAGGGCATAGGAAAGTCCTTCAGGGCAATGGAGTATGAAGAGCTGCTGAATGGTAAAAGCAACTCTTGTTCGACCTTGACACGACGTAGGTTGGGGAGGAGGACCTCGGGCGAGAGCGGGTTGTACGAGACATCCAGCGCCTCTGGTAATGGTGCGTCTCCTGGAGCACCGAGAACGAGCGACCCGAGGTTCTTGAATTGGGATTGCACAAGGAAAGACAGCAAGACATTCGGCCTGAACACTTGGCCGAGGCTAAGGTATCGGAGACGGTCGATGTAAGGACACACTAGCTTGACCAAAACGTAAAGCCCTTCCACGCGGAGGACGGAGTCGTCGTGGATCGGCGTCCTGACGTCGAGATGCAGTGCAAGAGGGGCAGAGGGGCCAGCCCGTGCGAACCAGTCGATCATATAAAGCCGGGCGTCGGCGTACGTTGGGTTCGTGGCGTCTGGAAGGATCAGACGCAACGTGGTCCAAAGAAGAGGAACACTCAGCGCGGCGTTCCGCCACCTGGACGAGATCTGGCAGAGGCTGTATACTTCGAGGTGCCTCTCCGTGGAGTCGCTTGCGAGTGGATAAAACGCGAGGATCCTCGCAATGACCCCAACAGGAAGTCGTCGTGCAGGGTTCAGCAGTGCCCTGCAAGTGCTCAGGTCCCCAGCAATCCGCTCCTCCTCTGCGACGCACATCTGGCGAAAGGCCATTGGGAAAGGCAGCTCGATGAGCTCGAGCTGGCGAGCACGGGCAGCGGTGAGCCTCTCCCAGAGAACGCGCACGTCGCGAAGCTCTACGTCCGTCAACGGACAGTTGGTCTTCGCGAGTGTCTGAAAATGGGAGTTGAGCATCGGTGGTGGTGGCAAAGGTGAAAGAAAGAACTTGCCAAGTAAGTGGAATTTATAGGATGCGACTCGTAACGGAACCAATAAGCGCAAGATGTGCGTGATCTGTCGACGCATTGGGCAGTGGAAAACAAGAGCAGACAGTCTGCGCTTTGTTCTGGCAGGGGTGAGGCGCCGTTGCCCCGCATAAGGTCCGTCATAGTGGGAACGAAACTCCCCAAGGAGGATGAAAGGCTCGACCAAACGAGGTGTGGCACATGCCAAACGGGGTGACTCGCGCTTTCGAGGAACCAGATAACCTCCCTCGAAGTTCAAAGCGAGCATTTCAGTTAGCTGGGGCACTTCTGTCCGGCGGGATATGAAGCTTTCAATGCACGAAGAAACGTTGCTGCGGTTGTAGAGTGACAGCCCCACTTCGAGGGAGAATATAGCGGAATGCACGAATATGTCGGAGGCGTGGCGTCTTTGAATATCATGCCATTATTCATGGGGTTTGCGACGATTGGAGGGGGGTGAAGTGTTGGAGCGAGCTGACCTGCCGAAGAGCTGTAACGCCGCCGAAAATTAACCTACTTTTGGCCACATTTCAGTTGGCGTGTTAAAAGAAAGCATCGGCGGCGCAACACACCTGGGCAGCTTGAGAGAAGGCGAGCTGAGACGTAGCTGTACGAGAAGACCGCGAAGCACACAGCGATGTAGGCCATGAATGCTATTGCTGAAACATTAATGCGGCGATTCATTCAAAGAAAACTCCCTCGTAGTTCAAACCAAGCCCTCGTTCAAGGTCTTCTCGACGAAACGCAATCTCCTGGAGTACCTTGTAGGGCTCCCATTTCCATTCAAAGGCAGGCTCACCGTTAACGAGATACCTTGCACTTCCAACCTCATATCATCTTCTACCCGCCAAAGTGGAGATGGTCTTCGCCACCACGGAATCTGACGGAATCCTTGAACTTCCCAATTTCCTCAGAACGATGGCTCCAGGTTCAGCTATTCAAGTCGAAGTTTGATTTCAGTACTAGACAGGAGCATTGATGAGCATACGCAATGAATAAGGCAAAGAGCGTGAAGTAGGACTCACGGACACTTGAACCAGGCTCATTATGACGAGGACTGTATATATGTTCCTGGAATAAGGGAAATGTCGATCTCAGGCAAGGGCAAGAGATGAATGAAACTGCATTATGTACGAGGCGATGGTATTACAAAGTCTTGAGGATACGATATGTCCGAAACAAAGGAGTGACAAAACGAAGGATCGAGGAAGAAATGAAGGAATGTAGCGCGTAGCTGTTGGTAGACAAACAGAGGGCTGGTGGTGAGGAACATATATCCGACAGACAATCTGTGCGCCATTCAGCGCACAGAGGAAATCTGAATAGTAACTTCTGTAATCCGGACAGAAGAAAACCTGGCGCCAGTCTACAAAATGGTTGGTCGTCTGAGGAAGATGAGAACAGCATATACGTACCTCGTCCTTGAGTAACATCAGTCCCTTCAATACGATGGATCTACTGGCTCGGGCTCCTTCCCCATACCCGCTCCTCCTGCAATCCACAGAGCCCTGCGCATGTGGAATGCGAGCCAGAAGAGGAAGAACATGAACAAGAGCAACGCAGCTCTCGCCCATGGCGATGGCGTCCTCACCCGGAAACGTGGATCCGAGTCGAACGCCGGTATCGAATCCCGGCGTCGTGGGCGACGTAGTGGGGCATCTTCAAGGTCGTTGTTGAAGGGCGAGTATTCGGATTCGTATGGGGGAAGATAGGATGACGATGACGAAGCAGAAGAAGGAGAAGACGGATTATAAGGAGATTCCGTCGGCAGGAGTTCGTATTTCGGTGCCATGCTAGCCTTCGGGTTCTTCGAGGTTCTTCGTTGTCGCCGTTGATGATTTGGTCGTCGTCACACCCGACGGCGACGACGGAATTCGAATGTTTATTTGCCTCTGTTTATTGATTGGCCTCTTCGGCTTCTCGGTATATTTGCGACGCCACACAACTGATCCCAAAACGTAAAAGGATTTCAACTCAAACCAAACCTCTGCGACACTAATAGGACGGAGAAAGAGAGAGCAAAAGGTATTATATGGAGGTTAATACATTTGGATGATGCAATCCGTGTGGCGGAATAATGACTCTCACACAGGCAGTCCCTTCATTGGGCCCAGAGCAATGGCGTCCTTGCTTTCCGGCGACCCGGAAGCAGTTGCCCTGCGGGCACGAACCCCAGAGTCTGACGGATCCTGTGTATACATTTGCCTCAGGAATCTTAAGGGTTAGTCCTCTATGTACTTACAATGTTGATTCTTTTGGGTGGCTCAGGGAACAGTATGCTTATCTCGGGTGGATGCAAGCTTGCTTGCCAAACCCCGCGGTTCTATGTAGATGATTAGAAGAATGGACTATGGGGTGTAGCAATAGCTCACGTTGAGGGTGGCGAGGATGAAGTTACCATACAGCTTCATCAGAAGCACGTTGAAAACGAATGTTCTAAATGAAGCTGATGTTCAGCCACCGTCAAAGAATGTCGTTGGAGCATGTAAGTACGTGGTATTGGTGAGCTAGAATGCAATTCAAATAAAAAAGTTAATTATGAGTAAAAAAAACTCACTGGTAAAGCAACGAATGTGATCATGCTAACGAGGGCAGCAACGGAAGTGACAATTCCCGTCTGCACGGAGACTGGCGATGTGCACGGTGAGTAAAGGCGAATTAGAAGGCGAGAAAGGACTGACATAAAATAATTCGTGTAATTACGGCGTCAGTGGCCCTGAATCCAGTCTTCCTTCTGTACTGAAAGGATATCAAACGTAAGGGGCGGATTGAGGGAGTAGGACATACCAAACTCCAAGCCAATGAAACAGCGATGAGACTATCTGCCGCGGCTGAGGATATGAGCCACAAGTATGAGGGGGGAAAGACGTAGTCGGTGATATTAGGGTCTGTGTAATCCCCGTGCCTCTTCGTTTGTACAGCAACCCAGATGCCACCGGCTGCTCGTCGAGGCATGAGGAAAGTGGTGGCTTCGCTTATTCCGAGGGACGAACGTACCAAAGGATGCGCAAGAGAGTGTACAGATTACCAGTGGGACCCATATTGCGTTCTGCAATGTGCGTATCCGGTTTGCGACGAAAAAGTGGATGGGCGTAGCTATCGCTACCTAGGATCCGACTTGAGGTTAATTCATCATCAATATAAGGGAATTGTAGGCCGCTCACTAGAATGGCAGGCTCTATTCCAAGACCCCAGAGATTTCATAAGAAAGCGCGAGCATTTGAGAGAGGACGTACCAGTGAAAAGAGCTGCTCGGACAGAGTCAGGACCGTTGTAATTTCGAAAAAAGGACGACACTCGCCTTTAGCGGGCCTTGCAAGGGCCGCTAGCTGGCCTACGACGAATAAGTAGAATGCACGCCGCAGTTAAGGTCTAAACGGACCGAATTGGAGGATTAGAGGTTCATATACCATGGCAATTGTTATGCCAGAGCCCAGTGTCTCCATCGTGAGGACATAAAGGACCTATGGAACAGCCTCACCTCTCAAAGGAAAAACCGGAGACGTGATACCAGACTCACGAATATTTTATTCAGTAACCTATCACTGGAAGATGGGTTGGCGTGAGATGTCGATTGGGAACGAAGGGTTTGGGAACCATACCCCGGATAACGCAGAAAATATGTGTATATCTACGGGCTTTCCTGAGTGACTGCTCCAGGGTTGGAAGAGAAACGAGGCAGGATATACCTGGCTTAGCAGAATCTGCTCGGCTGAGATTTAGAGAATCCTCGTGCATGAGGTTAGATAGGCCCACCCCGTGAAATATCAGCCCTATGGCCGTTCCCAATAGTTGGGGACCAAACCTGCCAGAACCTTGGCATAAGTATCGCTCTCCTCTCCTTCAGGATACCCTTCCCTCACATTTGCTTAACAATAACCGAGGGATCCATTGTCGACATTTTCGTATCGAATATTCAGGGACGATAATGCGGGGTCGCCAAGTCGTGTACGAGGGAGGGGGTTCAGAGGCAAGCCTGTCGACTCAGGCGGGCGTCCCAAGGGTCGTGAACGTGGGTCGTAAAAGCGTATTCGGTGCCGCGCCCGCGACCAAGGTGATTATAATAGACGGCAAAGTCTGATGTCCGAAATCCGACGTGTTTGGGAATCTTGAGCTTGTGTCGCAACCTGACAGTGCTTTTCTCCACAGCTCTCCAGGTCTGCCCATTGGTATTAAATTCCGGCATGCCAGGAGCTCCTTCATTTTCGCTCCTAACGTTCGGCAAGCTCCCGAAGAGCTTTGACAGGATGTTTTGGAAGGAATCATGTTAACGAACGGACGTTGGGGTAGAACGATTCCCTCGTGGCCGAATCCTCTCCGGCGCTAAGGAACTAACTGGAAATCAAGGGCGACCACTGATAGATCCACTTAACATTTTCTTCATATCTGTTTCCACATATGACACGTAAGATTTACCCGTCTCTGCTCCGAGAACGGATCTATATCACGGCGAGATGACGGTGAGATGGCTCAACCTTGGGGTAATATAAACTCTCGACGGGAACGATAAGATACATAAATTAATGTCGACAACTAGAGGCACTATATGATGCAGGGAACTTTAGTTGAAGCTTCAAGCTTCCGGGTCTACCTTGCGATGAGTGACAGTCTCGATGGAGACGCTCAGCTCCGTGACCTTCCCATTCACCGGGCGCTGGTGCGCCGCGTCAGGCAGGTCGATAGTGTGATAGTTCGCCTTGTCGCTAGGCAGAAAGTGGACCTGCTAATGACAATGTAAGAATTTATTGCAAGTGCAAAGGTATGGCAGAAAGTTACGTTCTCTGCAGTGCCTCCAATCGAGGCTCCAACTCGATGATTCGTGTTCTATGGAGATATACATGAGGAGATGACCAAAGGAAAAGGAGACAAAGATCGTACCTTAGGACTCGGGTCAAAGAGAACACTTGTCTGGGGTTGGTTCAAACCGTTACTCCAAGATGAGCGCGCCTGTCCATTTCTCCTTCTCAGCCGCGAACAAAGGTGTGGAGAGACCAAAGACTCACGTTCAACGTGGCCAGCAAGAAGTTCCCATAGAATTTCATGAGAGTGATGTTGAAAATAAAATTCCTGTCGAAGCCGGATCTCAGACGTTTCTTCTACCATGTTAGAGGAAATCTCCTTACAGGGTATTCCCCGCCTATAGTACAAAAATCAGATCTAGCCGAGGAGATCAGGAACGCGGAGGAAACTTACCGGCAGCGCGAGGAGAGTGATAACATTTGCCACCGCAGCGACTGAACTGTTGAGATATGGTTGGGCATCTATCATTGGATCACACTGAAGCTGTCTGGGCGTACGTTATGAGACCCGTCTGTACTGTCACTAGACCCACAGAAGTTCAGATAAGTAGGGGTATGGGGTATCAAAAATCGAGCTTGAACGTACACCTGATGATCCGGCTGATGACGGCGTCACTGGATTTTACCCCGGTCTTGCGCTCATACTAGAGGGAAGAACTTTGTCAATGGCATACGGAATGGAGCATACAACCAGCCGCCCATACCAAACTCCAGGAGAGCGTCACCGTGATCAACAAATCTGCGCAAGCGCCAGAAATAAGCCACAGAAGCGCGGATTTATTAGTCTGCTTTCTGTTCGCGAAGGAAGAGTAGTGCTTGATCTGGTAGGTTGCGAAGATTCCTCCAGCTAGACGAAGTGTCAATACGGGAAGACAATAATGAGAGCACTTCTGGAATACCGACCTAATGACGTTAGCGCCAATGTGCATATCACCAGAGGAATCCAGATGGATCGGCGCAAGAGCCGGATACGCCAAGCTACGAAGAATTGGATGGGCGTCGACACCGCGACCTTCGAAACATGATCAGTACTGCAGTCAAGGAGGCTTCTCATGTCAGAGTCAGACGCCACTCACCATCAAGGCCGGTTCTGTTGACGCCATGAACATCATTTCCAAGTCAGAATGGGGCGAGGGTTATCGTACCTGTGGCAAGTGCTATGGTTGGAGAGTTAGCCGTCAGTCAAGGGATGGCTTGAACCTCAGTACAAACCGAAAGGGTATCTAGACGTTGCTGTAGGTTTCCCTGTATGTAATGATTGAGCGGGAGCGTTGAACGAGAACGAGCTATTATAATACCGAATTGCAAGACCAGAGGTTGGTATATCATGTGCATCGAGAACGCCGTATTCAACGCTTCGACCACAAAAATGTGCAATACCAGATATTTATTTAATGGAGCATCACTGCTCTTCGTGTCACTACCCTCCCGTCTCAGAGAAATATGGCGGCTCACTTCTTGTACTTGACGAAATAATTATAAATCTAGGATCCCTTATTAGCCATTCCACTTCACGAGTGCGATCGGCTTGAGGAGTCGGACCTGAGAAAGAAGAACCTGGCATGCGTGAGCATTGTCAGTCTTTCACACCGGGGATGAGCTGGAGGAGTGGAGCACGAACCCCTTGCAAGACCATGCTGATTAAGATAGAGAGTAGAATAGGACCAAATCTGTGACGCAAAATCGGAGACTGGAGCGCCGAGAAGAACATCATACTTACAACGCTTGAACATCTACGTTGGACTCCATGTCGAAGAGAGGCGAGAGGAACGGAGGAGATCACCGCGGTAGAGAGGAGGAAAGGTACCCAAAGTGCATGAAATAGTCTCGAAGGAACGCCATGAAGCCGTCGAGTTTGATGTCGGCGTGGCTATCTCCGCGAAAAGCACGGAGGCCCAAAACTGACAATACATTACGAAAATAATGATGGGCGCCGCTGTCGGTACCACGGCCGTGCCGCCGCTGGGTGAATAATCGATTTGGTGAAACAATTCAGGATAGTCTAGTTTGCCATAAGAAAGTTTTTCTGTCAAAGGTGACGGCACGTGTCCAACAATCGTTGAGAATATGATCATGCTTACCATCCAGAAAATACAAGTATTTGTGCCACGGTGAATTTTAACCAAAATCGTGAGTAGGAACAAATCTGAACCTATCCATTAAAGCCGGCAAAGGCACAGTAGTTGGACGACGGGATTCGTTCCAGAACGCCACAGCCAGAAAACTCCCTCCGACGTGGACGCCGCCCGCGATACGTTATTCGCTATCCTGAGCCGAAGACATTTGCAGTCAGTAGCCAGCTCGTACGCTACACAGGTGCGGCAAGTGGCGCCACGCACCGACAATTACCATTTGAGGCAATAGGGAGGGCTTAGTCAGCGCTGCGCCGACGTGGGGAAGAACGCCGAGTCGAAGTAGGTTCGGAGCACGCCCAACGAACTCGGCTTGCAAACAATCATCTTGCGTGCTTTCGATGTTATTGTACACATTTCCCTTGGCCGATGTTGTGATCCACAGACCACATGGCAGTCTTCTCAAAACAACCTGATTCGCCAAGGATCGAATGTAAGGTCCGTTGCTTGACACGCTCGAATACAAACTCTTATCTCTAAGTACGAGCATCTATGTATAAAGAATAGAATTAGGGTATCACGTCCGCAGAAGAGTCCGCCTACAGGCCAGTCGCAGCTCTCACCGCCTGCAACACATCATCCACCAGATCCTCTTCCTCCTCCACACCCACACTCAGGCGGATGAGGTTGTCGCCGATGCCAAGGATGGCGCGCTCGGCGGGTGGGATGCTGCCGTGCGTCATCTGGGCGGGGTGTTCAGCCAGACTCTCCACGCCGCCCAGCGACTCCGCGAGCGTGAATAGGCGGGTACTCGTCAGGAACCTGTCCGCCTCTTCCTGGCCACCGCGTATCCTAAACGAGATCATACCACTGAACGGGAAGCCGTTCGCTGGTGGATGATCGCCCTCTGCGCCAATGAACTTGCGCGCTGCTGGGCTGAGCACCCGCCAGGCGAGCTTGTTCCTCCTCCTCGACACTTCCGTCTTGCCCGGGAGACCGGGGTAAATCACCTCCTCGACACCAGGGGACGTCTCCAGGGCCCGCGCCACGGCGAGGGCGTTCAGCCCGTGCTGCTTCATACGGAGATGCAGCGTCTTCGCACCGCGTTGGGCAAGCCAGCAGTCGTACGCACTCGGAACGGCACCGATGGCGTTCTGTAGGAACCGGAGCTTGTCCGCGAGCACCGCCTGCGAGTCGGGGAGGATTAAGGCGCCCATGACGACGTCGGAGTGACCATTGATGTATTTTGTGAGCGAGTGCAGGACAATGTCGGCGCCCAGAAGCAGTGGGGAAGAGTAGAATGGGGATAGGAAGGTGTTGTCTACGAGGACGACGGGCCGAAAAGGATGCGAATGGGCGAGGTGAGCGATACGCTGGATATCTATCAGTCGCAGGGTCGGATTCGTGGGCGATTCTATCCAGACAAGCTATGTCTTCTGTCAGCCGCGAAGAACTCGACTCGAGATGGCTATACGCACTTTCGTATTCTCTCTGAATGACGCTATGATGTCCTCATCACTTGCATTCTCCAGATCCAGGAAGGTCGCCTCCAGGCCCTGGTTCTCTGCTGCTACCCGCCGAATGTAACGGAAGGTCCCTCCGTAGACATCGTTCACACTGACGATATGTGCGTTGGGGCCGAGCGATTGCAACACTGTTGCTGTCGTGGATGATCCCGAAGCAAAGGCCAGTGCATAGGCTCCGCCGCCTTCCAATGCCGCAAGAGTATCCTCAAGGGCGTTTCTATTGGGGTTGCCGGATCTAGAGTATTCGAAGCCCTGAGAACAGTCGTCAGCGAACCGTCGATTTCCGACGTTCTGGCGACATACCTTGTGCACACCGATGGCCTGCTGCTTGTAGGTTGTGCTGAGCGATATAGCGGGGATGACTGCCCCGGTCTCCTCGTTGGGTTCGGAGCCTACATGCACAGCGCGTGTTCCAAAGCCGTCGATGCGTTTCTTTAATGGGTGAGTTCCATTAGTGTGGATGCCATTAGTGTGGACGCCATTGACATGGATGCCGTTCGATGTTGCGGAATAGAGAGCTGGGGACATGGTAGAGGGAGAGAAGGCGATTGTATCTTCGTAATGAACGCTTCATGGAGGGCGACGAGGCTTTTATGAATGTGAGGCGGGCCATTGCAAATTATGGCGAGCGTGCTGACGGAGATTTCCACGTGCAGCCGAACACAAGATTTTCGGCTGTTCTTCCCAATTTGGCGAGACGGCTCGGTCAAGGCTGACGAAATCCAAAGATCCACCCGACTCAGCACCGGTAGGCATCGGTCACCTAGTGGGTCACATTCGTAAGCCCTGCATAATTGTAAGACAGGAAAACGTAACTAGACGTAGGAATGAAAGTAATGGTTCGAGTTATCGGGAGCTCATCGCGCCTTGTGTGGCACAGCACATCCATCGATTGCGTCTTCGATTTTAAATAGAACTCTCGAAATTGTATGATGGGTACGCCGTTACCCCATTTCCACCACATTGCCTGATTACGAGAGGCAATCTCCGAGTTCCAAGCGATGAGCATGCGGAGCGCGTACCAAGTCCGGAGTGAAAAAGGGATACCATACATTTCTCGAGAGGTGAGGTGAGATTTACCTGTTACGATCCATTTCTGATCAGCGCATTCGTTCCTTGAGCGGTCAAAATGTCACGGAACGGCACTACGGGATTCCATCGGCGGTAGGGAGGATGAGAAGAGGCAGAACACCTTCGAACCCATGCTTGAGGCGACCCAGATGACCATGAGTAAATTCCCCCACTTCATTAGAGAGGCGACGTGTATTAATCCCCGTTGTAGAATGCTTCTAACCAGTAATACGTATTCAAAGGTATGTTACTTCAACCGCCCTTGATCCCAGGGACAAGTTCGACGGGCAGCAAATCCACCTGTTTCAATAAGAAAATATAAATCTCTGACAACCGTGAAGGAATTATTAATCGGCCTCTATTCTCCTGGCCTAAACCCTTCTGGGTCCAGAGACTGAAAGGCGCCCATTGCTGCGTTGACGTCATCTGATGAGGGTCGGGCCGCCTGCCGGAAGCGCCCACAATCGAAGGGCAGTCCCCTGCCCATCACAACTACAGGTTAAACTATTGTTCGCGAGTCCGAGACGTAATATATGAGGATGATCAACCAGTAAGCTACATTATACACACAGCTCCGTCGGAAGTTCACTGAGGCAAATACTTTAGATACTTATCACTCATAGAGCAGTATGCGGTGGGAATGAAAAAGAACGCGACATACATAATCTGGGGAAAGATTAGAGAACTAAATTGTAAGCCTGAAATGCTTCTCATGGGTGAAAGATAGGATAAGATTAGAGTAGCAAATTCCGGGCCGAATCGCATGGAGCTCTTCTGCTTCCCTCCATTTTCATCGGAGGTTTGTATCCAGCTAGTCGCTCTTCCATCTCACCTTCACGGCGTCACTCGGAACTTCTGGTAAAGCTATGCGCAGTAGTATTCAATGATCCTAGAATTTGTTTGTTCCCCATTAAATCCCTCTAATTTTGTGTCAACGAATTAAACTTTTATCAAGGGCAAAACTCTATCGATTGCCACATGTTTCCGATGACTTGACATGGCCAATCCGTAATATACCCTGATCCAGGCCTTCTCCAGCCTTTAAACTAGTAAACTGTCTTTGACAACTACGGTCTTGATCTCTCTCTCTCTCCACCTACTACTACCCGCGACGTTGGGTAGCCATGTCTCTCGTGGAACGTTTGTGAGTAGCCGTGTCCAGGTATGCTCAAAGACAGAATCTCACCGTGACCTGTGGACAGCTACGGGCCCATGCTCATCGGCATTTTCTGCAGTCTCATACTATATGGGGTGAGTTTTCCGCCGTCTCTTCCAATTAGTGATTAAACAAAGGGTACTGATGAAGCGCATGGCCAGGTCGTGCTCTTGCAGACCTACATCTACTATGTCACGTACAGGAGGTGCCTTTTCGTCTCCGATATATTGTTCAAACCAGTGATAACTCACGAAAGGCGGCGTGGGCTAGGAGTGATCGTCGGCGAATACGATACCTAGTAAGTATACCAATATTATACTTATCATTTTCAGGGGATCATCTTAAAATACCTCAGGTGCTGTGGCTGTTTTTAGCGGAAACGGTTCACACTGCATTCACAATGCTAATGATGTATCAGCCTCTCATTCTTCAGTTTGGTTTGTCTCCATTGTCTTTATTATCTCTGTATTTAATTTTTGCGACAGGAAAAGAAGAAGCAACGACGTATTTCCCTATCAGTGAGGAAAATTTTGTCCAATTACTGCCTCTTATTGACGATCATTGTGGGGTATTTGCAGGTGTGGCAGCAGGTGAAGACCCTTGCTCCGGGTATTCCATCCTCATTTTAAAACTCTCCAGAGCCTCTCTTCATGATCTCGGTCTCGACCCCCATCCAAACTTTTATTGCCTGGCGAATATGGCGTCTGCAAAGAGTCTACTGGATACCTGCTCTGATATGCTGTCTCGCCGCTTCGTCAACAGGTACAGCCCTACGCCCTCGTCTTTCTCCGATTATCCTAATCAAATCGCGTACTCAGGAGGGGCGATATGGTCCACAGTCCAAGTAACCGACTTCCGCCTAACGTCCAAGAAACCAGAGACGCATCCGCCGGTGCTTCTCTGGTTTGTGTCTAGTGCGGTCGCGGACATATTAATTACGGCGTCTCTTTCTTTTAGTCTGGTGAATGCTTTACGGGTTATTGCGTGAGAAGAAGTTCATGGATTGTTTTCAGTACACCCGCCGAACTGGATTAAAGGCAGCTGACGAGGTGATCTCTCGAATAATTGTTTGTGAGTCGTCGAACCCTCCATTAAACCTTACAAAGCGAGCCCCAAGCTGACGAGCACCTCAAGTCACAATACAGACGGGGCTTGTGACGTGAATTGTTCTTCTCGAGTCCAATTTCTGCGACAACGTCTGACGCCTGGGCGTTAGATCAATTGGCGCCATTCTTGACCTCATTCTGCTCATCACTGTACCGGTAAGTAACCCATGTTACCCTTCATTCAACACAAATCTCACCTGCTCGGACAGGAAATAAATATGTGCGTTTCTCTCGCCCCTTCGGGTGTCGGGCGAAAATACTCACGCTTCGAGGTGCCTCAAATTCAGCAACTTTATTTTCGATGTTACCCTGGTCAAGATCTACGCCATCTCGCTGCTGAGCACGCTTAATGTAGGATCCTATCAGCGCTTATGCTCCACGCCTTACTAACAGAGCATTGTCTTTCCATTAATACCTTGAAAGGCCCGTACTTCTCTCAATGATCAACTGAACAACCGACAAAACCTGCTTTTCGAAGGCCGGCCCTCTGATACAAATTGGGTACCGCTCTCCTCATTAATACTCGGGCAACTATCTGATATGATCCTACGCTTTGCAGCCTCCGGAAGTAGCCAGACCGCACGTAAGGGCTCTTCTAACGTTACATCACGGAAAAATTAACCAGATACAAGGGTCTATCGCGGGCATCTGTGGTGTTTAACATTGAGATGACTACGCGGGCTCCCGTGACGGATATCGAAGGGCAGCAAACAATTGAACTTTCGGAGATGAGCTCGAGATAGAAGCTTTTGCTGTGTGATTGGAGACGAAATAGATTGGGGTTGACCCTGCAGGGTAATGGATCATGGACGTAACAGAGAAAGCGGCTTCAATCTTATAAAGCTAGGAAAAGGAATACTTGACTAGTGAACCCGGTAAATTATTTGCAGCCCGTGATCCGTGGAAGTCGTGAACTCCCAGTCTTAGAACACTTCTCAAGGGACGAAGTATACTTATCAATAACTTCAGATAACTTCACGAGCATACGGCGCCAAAACGCGAGGCACGTGATTGAAATAGGGGTGTGACGCGTCGCGTCTGGACAAGCTCAGGCTGCTCGTTCGCTCTCTTATTCGGCAGAAGCATTTGACTGTGTGCACCATTACAAATTTATCTTTCTAAAATGCATGTGCATAATACACTTTCCCCCCAGAGATGCTTATGAATAAGAAAAAAGGTAAATAAATCGCTCCTGCTCGAGAAGACTCGAACCCCGAGTTAACATTCAAATAGACGTCGAGCTGGAAAGAACGAAGACAAAATGACATCTCATGTAGTCATCTCCCGCAAACGCTGTCGAAGAACTTGTAAAGACTGTCCATCTTATACTTTGGGTCGAAGTCGAAGGCGTGATCTAAGCCCTCGAGTTCATGGTACTCTATGCTTGCCCCTATCGCCTTTGCCGCTTCAAACACATTCGTCGACTGAACATGAGGAACCTTCTTGTCGTTATTCCCAGTCATGATATAAGTCGGAGGCAGTTTGAACTTTTTCGATCTCAACGAGTCGGCGATGCTGAATGACCGTTCTGGAATTCCCGTTCCATCGAGCAGAAGTTCCGATAAAATGGCCCTATTTCGGTGCTGTCAGGAGACGACCGACTTTTTCTATCACAGTCAGCCACTCACTCTTGAACCATGTAGTCGTAAAATATCCACCTCCTATCCTCGAATGCACACCAAGTCGTCTTCACGTCATCGGGATTGACGAAGGGCTCCACCTCAGCCCTATCGATAATGTGGTCCCTGTACGACACTGGATGTTGTTTTGTCTTCCAGAAGGGGTCTTGAAGATCCGTAATGGGGTACAGAGCGACGATTCCGCGCACAGGACGGGGTCGTTCCAACCCACACGCCTCGAAGCCGATGCCAGTCCCAGCGAGAAGGCAGAGCCAACCACCAGCAGAGCTCCCACTGAGAACCACTCGCGAGACGTCGACGCAGTTTTCCGTGGCCTCTGCGAACTCGCTCGCATGTAGAAAGTCGATAGCGGATTTGCAGTCGGATAGGATACCGGGGAGTCGAGTTTGAGGAGCGAGGCGATAGTCGGCCGAGATAAGGCAGAGATTGTGCTTGTCAGGCGCTTTCAGCATGTGAGGAGGTACCCCTGGAATAAAGTCAGATTATAGATGGAGTGAAGGAGGGTCGTCTTTTACGTTTTCTTGTTCCCTTGAATATTGAAAATATTGCAGAAATATCGGAGCCGGAATGAATGTGGGATCATGCCTGTAGTAAACCCCCACCTAGTATACAGTTGAACAATTGTAAGACGACGATAGCGTACACCAGCGACTCACCATGCCACCAGAGGAACACGGGCACTGGCGCCTCCTTCGACGCGCTGTCTGGGATATACACGTCCATGGCAACATCCAATCCTTCAACGCGTTTGAAGACGAGCTCGAGAGGTGATTTCATTTCTGACACCGACAAGTAGGGAGGAGAGATAGAAGCGTTTCCAACATTGGCTTATCTCTTCTTATAGCTCCGTCAAGATTGGAAATGCCTTCATGATGATCCGGCGTCAAGTTTCCCCACCGTGATCTCACGATCACGATGTTCGGAAAAGTTCCGTTTTGGTGAATTATCGCAATTATCCATTTCAGTCTTGGTGGAGCGGGCACAGATGGAGGGTCCCCATTGGAGACTTTGCGACATCATGAACTTGCATAGGGCTCGAATAGCGCTCGGCATTCGATAACTAGTACGCCGATCCTCGCCCTGCATGGTCCTATATCAAATGGGGGTCATTGGTTGTGAAATAATGGTACGTGGAGCTAGTGGGGAAGCAGTGAAAAGATACCACCACCATCGATAAGGGGTGGCAAAGACTTCCTCATCTCGTGTTCACGTTTCTCCATTCTACTTATTTCACAGATTTATGTTGGGCAGACATTGCCTCTTTCAAAGCCGCGAGGAAGTCACGAAGTAAACAAATGTTCCCTAGGCCAACTGTTTCAGGGGCCAAAGAGTAGTGCCAACCGCGTCACGAAGGATCTGAAATGCTTTATCCAAAAAAGGAGTCTCACGCACCAAATCTGGATGCGTGCCGTTGGGCGATCGAATTTTAGCGGGCCGCCCTTACCGAGATGCGCTCCTCTACATTCCGGTCCTAGCTATCACGCACAGAGAATATATTTTGTTATAAAATCAAGACGACTCGCGAATATGAACGGATAGGGAACACTGACTCGTAAAACAGCATGGAGATTATTTAAATGTACACCAGATTCTAAATTTACGAGAAACGCGGCACTTTTCTCGTCTATAGTTATCACGAAGCAAAGGCATGCCTTCAAGACCTTAAAACCTGGAAGTGACCTTGGAACGACTTGTGATAAGATATTGCACTGACCCTGTGATGATCGATGATCACTTCAAGTTCCGGCGTTATCCGAATCCCCTCTGTGGTGGTTCAACTGGAACACTCACGTCCATCCCTCACCCAATCCCCGCCCAGTCCCAGTTCACTCAAACACGTCGTCATAAACCGCCAACGCTACTTTCGTTACCCCTTCTCCGCCACGAAATGAGACACGAAGTCCTCACTCGACATCCAGGCTCGTCCGGCAGTCAGCCGCGCTGGCCATGATAGAAATGCCAGTCAACCTCCAAAACCCTTATAACGCGTTCGCGGCCCCGCTGAAATATCATCCCCACCTGGGTTTTCAACTCGACCAACAGCCATTTCTATCACACACGATCCTTACCCGGCACAGTACTATCCACTATCGTTCAAGAACCATGAAGACTCCGTCCCTCATCACTTTCGCCACCATCGCCGTGGCGTCCATGAACGTTTTGGCTAACGTTATTCCGACTGCGGTCGTAGCGACCGATAAAAGAAGTGCGTGTTCTTGTAGTTCTGGTGCACGGTTGGATTTAACGAGATTTAGGTTCACCCGCGGGTGAATTATTCCGCCGTCTGAATGCTGGTACGCTTGCGCAGAATCGTTCTTGCGATTCGTTCCTAATTTTCCGTGGTTCTCCTCGAAGATGAGAACGAGATCCTCGACCGCAGACAAGGCAATTCAACAGGTGTGATAGGCTCTCAACACTTCTCTATGGTCTCTCACGCTAATGCGATCTTGCAGGTGCCGCTTCCGACCTACGTGAGTCTTCAAAGCTTCCAGCTTGAACGCCACCCAACATCTAACGATATTTCCAGCCTTGCCAGTGCCCGCTCCAGTGTCTCCTCCAGTAAAACGAGGCGAGGAGAAGGGCAAGGACTATCAGGGTGCGCTTCTCTTTTCCTCACTCTTAAACCAGGACTTACACTATCTGCGTTAGATATCCTCTGGCTCAATTTCGCCCTATTCCTTGAATACTTCGAGAACGCCTTCTACGAACGCGGCCTGTCTAGGTACAACGAAGAAGCGTTTAGGCGGGCTGGATACCCCGACTGGGTCCGCGGGCGCTACCTCCAGATCGCCGAACACGAAAGGTACCACAAACTTTTCATCGAGAGTGCGATCACGGCTTCAGGAAGCCCACATGTGGGCCCATGCCGCTATGAATTGTAAGTTTTGTTGTATATTGCATTGGGAAGCGCCTCTTATTCTACTTACTCGTTAGCTACGACAACGATGTGCGCGCCTTTGTCGACGCGAGCGCAGCCATTGAGACGATTGCGACCGGCGCTTACACCGGTTTGTTGCAATTCTTCAACAACAGAGTACGTTCTTTCCGCTTTCAAAAAATAGTTATCCGAATCCTGAACCTCGGCGTTTTCAGGCCTATGTAACTGCCGGAGCGTCCATTCTCGCTGTAGAGGCGCGCCAGGCAGCCTGGATCAACTCCGCCGTTCGCAAGCTGAATCCATGGAACGCCGCATTCGAGGTCAGTCCCTCCCAATTGTATCGCCCTCTCAAATACTTAAAATATCTGCCTAGACACCTCTGACACCCAACGCTGTCCTCACCCTCCTCTCCAACTTCTTCAACTTCGAAAACTGCCCGAAGGAAAATCACGCCCTCCTTCCACCTGGTGTCCACCCCTACCCGCGCCTCGCCATCGCGCCCATCCTCGTTCCTGGCCAACCCGCCGAAATCTCTTTCCCCTACCCCCAGATTGGTGGTGGCGAGCGTCTCTACGTCGCGTTCCTCTCCGGCGCCGAGACTATCTTTGCGCCACTCCAGGAGAAGGAGGATGGTAAGGACAAGGACAACAAGAAACGGTACTTCGTCGAGATCCCGCGCGACCTCGCCGGCAGGGGCACTGTATATGTCATTGTTGTTCGTGGGCGGGAGAACATTGGCGAGGTGAGGCTGGAGGATGAGTTCATAGTTGCTGGACCGGGGATTACGATGTTCCCTTTCGACGCTTGGGGTAAGCCCATCAATGGCTGGTAAACGTTCTGGAATGGTTTCGTTTCAACTTACATTTTCGGAGTACGGACTTTAGATACCTTCTTTTGTTCTCTTGATACCACCTCGATATACTTCTTTCTTTCTCAATACTCTATGTATAACCGCTTCTTTTCAGAGAGTCTTTCGGACCTGAGGCATATTACTTGTTCAATTCTATGGAAACTCATCCAAGATTCAAGTAAGACTAGTCTGACATCGACACTCGATATCGGATGCCACGAATCGAACATTGAACGATTCCTTCTGTCCGTCGAAATTCGGTAGAAATTTGACACGATGAGAGACATCCTTCAGTGTAACTTCATTCACGATATCGGTTAAATTTGACACGAGAAGACAGCATGAAAATGTAATAATCTGCACCGACACCCTTACTCCTCGCTTCGCTCCCGAAGAATTGCTTCTGAACCTATCGGAGGTCCCGGGCCGCTCATGATGCGGACTTGGAGTTCAAAAGGTTGGAGCACCTCTCTTGACCTCGAACCACTTCCATCTCCCACTTTTCAGCGATGGCAACAACAAGTCACCAGTGGGTGTCAGACGATACGCGGGCGAGGCTCCTGCATACAGAATTCAACATCAAACGGAAGGTTACAAGCGTCTGGTCAGGTTTCCTCTCGTTCGCGCTGCGCGACAACGTGCTAGAGGTTGCGGTCGGTTTCATGTGAGTTGTTCTTCAATTGTTGTATAGAGTATAAGCTAAACGAAGGGTAGAATCGCGTCCTCGTTCACAGCGCTCGTGAATTCATTGGTTTCCGACATCATCTTACCGCCGATCTCTCTACTACCTTTCATGTCGCGAAACCTCGAAGAGAAGTTCTGGATTCTGAGGAAGGGCCCACACTTTCCTCGACAGGAGGGCTACAATACTAGGAAACAGGCAATGGACGACGGGGCCGTTATCCTCACCTACGGGTACGCTTCAGTTCAAGTTGAAAGCTCCACTGATGACGCGTTTGCTATTGTAGGGCTTTTTTTGACCAGATGGTGAACTTCATCGGGGTCGGCTTTGCGCTGTACGTGATAGCGTCTCTGTATGGCTATCTCAGTAAGGACTCGATCATCAAGAACACGGTCAAGTGTCTGTACTGCAGGAAGGAAATAAGTGAGAAGGTATGTCTAGCTCAATGCCGTTCAGGCTCGGCTTAGATTTGACTTTGTTATAGGCTAGGAGGTGCCCGATGTGTACATCGTGGTTAGATGGACGCGAAGACAGGGAAACTAGTGCTCTACCTCAGTCCTCGTGAAGCCTTCTGGCCTACTGTTCGGTGATACCTCACTGTATCCAAATCGAATGCAATACTACTATTTTGACCTCTCATCCATAGATTGTCAGTATCTCCGGGAGCGAGTAAACTACTCCCTGGCGTCGTCATCCCACGTCATTGCCGGTCATTTACAAGATTTCAACCTCCTTTGCTTCGAGACTCATGGTTATTTGAACATGGGCTAAGACCTCCCCTGCAAAAAGAATTGAGACGTCTCGCCTCGTTTTTTCTTATACAAACCCCACACCTCGGCGATTGTCTTCTTATTCCCTTCTCCTGTGGAGACCCTACTTTTCCAACCTCACCTTCACCGCCTGCCCTATCATCTTGATCCACCATGCGCTTCTTTATCACTCAGCTGGCAGCCTTGATGGCTCTGTCGACGGTGCTGGCCGCGCCCGCCCTGAATTCACCCCTTACCATCGAGAAGTACAACGGCAAAACCACCGGCAAGCACATCGTGAAGGTCAAGGATGGTCACAACATGACGGATGTGCAGAAGGAGGCGGGGCTGGCGGGGAACACGAGCTCAGTCGCGACATGGCCCGACATGAATAGTTTCGCTGGTACATCTTCTCCATCTCCCTTCCTGTTCTCTTGGTTGAAGTGTCTGACTTGTAGGCCCTTTTCCGCAAAAGACCCTCAACCTTCTGCTGGCGTCAGGTAAGGTTGACTGGATCTGCGAGGATGGGATCATGAATACTACGGGTACTACCATTACGCAGTACGCTTTTTAGGTTTGCAATCCAGTATTCAAGCCGCCGCTGACATAGTGGGCCTAGAACCGATGCTCCTTGGGGCCTCCAGCGCATTAGCCAAAAAGCGAAGTTGTCGAGCAATTCAACGTCGTGAGATTCCTTCCGCGGCTTATCTGAAAGCTGTTTTAACGTTGACAATGCTCTCGTCAGAGCGCTGAACTACAAGTATACTTACGACTCCTCCGCTGGCGAAGGAGTCGACATTTACATCGTTGGTGAGAGTATACACTTCTTGCACGCGCATTACTCTCTTGACGTTATTCGGCATAGATACTGGTGCGTCCTGGGAGCCTCGTCGTTGCTCGTCCTTTGCTTTACTGTCTCCTTATTCCGTTGCGATTAGGTATCAACATAGCTCACGTAAGTAGGCCTGCATTTTTCTGCCCGTTCAACCCTCTGATAAAAATTTCGCAGGTGGATTTTGGCGGCCGTGCTAGTTGGGGTACGACTTTTGGGGGCTACGCGTAAGCTTATAGCTCAAACCTAGAGAATCAATTCGTCTTATTTGCTTCGACACCCAGGAACGCTGATGGAAATGGGCATGGAACACACGTCGCGTCCGTAAACCTTCGTCCTTGGATTTTTTCCCCGATGACTTAAAGCATCATCGGACTACAGAGGAACCGCAGGAGGAACAAGATTTGGAGTAGCCAAGTCTGCCAAATTGATCGCCATCAAAGTCTTGAGCGACTCTGGGTTAGTAATCGCTGGCAAATATCCTCTACACTCCACTGATTTTGGCCTTGATAGAAGTGGCTCTGTTTCTGACATGTAGGCTCCATGTCGTGGTAGTGCCCTCGCCTTTCGTTCTGACCGCTGTCTTCGAATAGTATCTCTGGCCTCAACTGGGTTATGAACAAGGCTAAATCAACTGGACGACCTTCGGTCACGAACCTGTCTCTTGGAGGGGGCGCTTCTACAGCCCTGGATAACGCCGTTGCCTCGGTAAGAAATATTCATCGTCATCTAATCCAAAATATCAAATTCATCCCCATTCATAGCTCACAAAAGCGGGCGTTCACGTTGTCGTCAGTGTTTTAAATTCGCTCCGAAAGCTGATTCTCACAATGCCAATTTCTCCAGGTGGCTGCTGGCAACTCCAACGTCGACGCCGCCAACACATCCCCTGCCCGTGCACCAAGCGCCATCGCCGTTGGGGCGACAACCATCGTCGACGCACGGGCTTCGTTCTCCAACTACGGCAGCGTCGTCGGCGTCTTCGCTCCTGGGGCCAACATCATCAGCGACTGGATCAACAGCACCACAGCAACCAACACCTTATCGGGCACCTCGATGGTTCGTTCATTTTTTTTTATCTATTTCTTGCCTGTTGCTGAGGACTGTTTCGATACTGGAGGCTTCCCCACACGTGGCAGGTTTGGTCGCGTACTTGGTCAAGAAGGACGGGAACATCACTCCCGCTGCGATGCGCACCAAAATCCAGAATCTAGCCGTCAGGAATGTGATTTCGGGTATTCGTAAGTCCTCACTGTCCATTTTTAAAGAGAAAAATCTGACGTGAATAGCTTCGGGCACAGTCAACTATCTTGCCAACAACTCGTAGGAGGATACCCATCTTCTTATGCCCGCGGGGGGCGATGTGTTCGACGCGGAGATGTACAATAGGCATATACCAACGCGATTCATCGTTTTTTCGAGGATAGGTCCTGAGTTTCGTCAGCTCGGACAGGTATAAAGTATGTATCCTTTCTGTCACTCTTAGGCCTTAGATCATGGTTCGCATGAGAGATTTGTGAAGACAAAACATATCTACAAGCGTCCTTCGGGACCGTGTATTCCGGGCTGGAGACTGTCATTTCGGTGGCCAAGGCACGGTGTGTTAATCGAAGAAAGTACCGCCGTTGATGGAAATCTGCTGTACGTCAACAAGGCGAAGGAATCGAAGGGACCGTCTGCACTTACTGTCTGGCCTGTAAGCAACACATTAGCGTTATGTAAGCTCGTAGTAGACGTGTCAATGGGTTGTACGGGTCGTGTTCTTACCTGTGATCATCTCGGCCTCTGGTGAGACCAAGTACGACACCAAGCCGGCGATATCTTCGGGCTTCCCATCACGACCGATGGGGGGAACGACTGCGACCTGGGGTTCGGATCCGAAGTATGAGCCATGGATATTTATTATGTACTGAAATCAACGCGTACCTCTGGTATTATCGCTCTAACACCATCCACTTCGATAGTCTTTCGGTCAATTTAAACAGTATTGCCGAATGCGAAGTGTCCTTACACATTTTGGTCTCGGTGGCGCCTATGGTTGAACGTCAGCGCGTCAGCAACGATCACAAAATGAAAGAATGCTTGCATCTTACCAGGAGCGTATGCATTTACCGTTATGCGATGTTTTGCCAAATCAGCGGCTGCCAAAGTGCTTATTGGGGCATTCAAATTGTCTGGTATTCCTGTGCTACACTCACCAGCACACTGGGTCAGCCCTCGCACAGCGAACTTACTCGTCGCGTACGGGCTCATAACCGCTGAACCTGCCAAGTCCCACGACGCACATAAACATCTTCCGATATTTCGTGGTAGACAGGGATCGCACCTTGCTTCGCGCCGATAGACGCAGCACCGATTATCCTGCCACCTTTTCCTTGGGTAATCATTTGCCGTGCTGCGTACTTGTAGCAGAAGAAAACACCGAAAGTGTTCACCGCGAGCGTACGCCGGAAGTCCTCGGTTTGGGCTGGAGAGATATTAAAATTAGTTTCGATGACATCGGGCAATGATCATCCACAGTGCGTACTTTCGACGAAAGGGTCTAGTGTATAGAAACAGATTCCAGCATTCGCAATCATCTAAGAGATACAAAGACTGTATTGGGTAACTGGTCAATCAACTGCAAAGGACATACCACGTTGAGCGCGCCCATGTCCTTCACCACGTTCTCCACCATCCCTTTCACCTCCTCTTCTTCGGAAACATCACCGAAATAGAGCGAGGACTTCCTCCCTGCCGCTGAGATCTCAGTTTGAAGGTCCTCAAGAGCGTTCCTCTGGGATGCAAGGTCGTTCAGTGCGACGCGATACCCGTCTCTTGAGAGGCGCAGACCGATCGCGCGACCAATACCACGGGATGCACCAGTGATGAGGGCCACACCTTTCATGCTGAAGTCGAGGGGTCGACCGTGGTGGAAAATGGGCGATGAAGCTGAAAGATGGGCAGAATCCCTGGAGTTTAATATGCTTCCTCGCTTGTTCGTCACATGTGGGCCTCATGACCAGAGATAACATACTCGAGGTCAGGGAAGTCGATGTCGATATCAAGACCTGAAAATTTCGGTGAAGATTAGTCGGTTGTAGATGACGGCACCCACGGGCAACATTAGACTGCCTGATTCCTTCATTCTTGATGACCTAAATGAATCGATGTCGTCGTAGCTTACGCGGAGTTATTTGACATAGGACTTTCAACAAAATGACAACGAAACGCTCTAGACATGCAGTCCTTCTGTACACTACCAAAATGCTTTGAGCAGTCGTGCACAGAGCGAAAAAAGAGGTGTGTACGTCCAGCCATCCAAAACGTGAGTGCAAAATAACACTGGTCATCTTATACGTGAGGTATATATTGCGACCATGCAAGATCAACGTACGCCCCCGAAGGGAGTTTCCGAAAAGCAATCAACGGTAGAACTAAAAGTGCAAATCTTGCGAGGACGTACAATGCCAGGATTGAGTACCACGCCCTCGCACTCATATACATGAACACACGCGAACGCCTGCTGCCCGTCTTCCTATGCCTCAGTATCGCCGAGCCCAGCAACTGGAACGGTAGCGGTGCGACAGCAATGTAAGCCGCTGCCAGCCGCCAGAGGAAGCGTTCTTGGGAAGTTGGGAAGTCGAAGTTCCACCCTACACAGTGGATGACTCCGAAGAGCATCGCAACGAGCAGCCCGAGGCCGATGTAGTAGTTGTTCTTGCCTTCTTTCTCGAAGTCGGGTGCGTAGAAGGTGGGTACACGGTTGGCGCCGCGATGTATCTCGTTGGCGGTGAGCATGCCATTGAATGGACGTGCAAGCCACGCAAAAAATCTGAGGAGATTGTGAAGGGCCTTTCGTGGCGAGGGCATCAAGCGGAGACTTGGTTTGGACTACGAGGAAGGTCAGCTCCGCTTTCTCACTCGTCATAAGACTGAATCATACCTTGGATACAGAGCTGCTGTCAACGACAATGCTCAACTTAGACAACGTCGCCGTATCATCGACAGTCGTCTCGCTTGCCCCATCGTCTCTCGGTGCACCATACAAGACTTGCATGATCTCCTTGGTCGCCGTTTCCACCACGGGTGCCGGAGAGCGAACATCCAGCGGCTTGTTCCACCACGTAAGGTACAGCGCGACGTTCAGCCCAGCATAGGCAACTGTGACAAGCTCGAGCTCCGTCACCGTCATGCGCTGCTGGAATCGTGCGATACACTGCACGACGAACCACGTTGTCTGCACCAGCGCGACAGACTTCGCGAGGAAGTCGCCCTTGCTCCTGTCCTGGATCTCCTCCTTCGAGATGTCGGGCCACTTGATGAGGCCGCGCGCTTCGAGTTTGACGATCTGATCGGCGTCTAGCGGGACACGGTTGCCTTTGGTTAGTACGAAGCCGCCCATGGACACAAAGAAGCCATGGACCCGAGTCCAGCCACGACCTAAGGCCTCGTCAGCCCCATCGAATCCCTATTGGTTCTCTGACTCACCTTTGTGCGCCTTCGCGATCTGGTTCGCCGCCCACCACTGCCGAAGTGCCCATACGAACACGAGCTCGGGGACAATTAACGCGCAGAGCATCGCAGTCAGTCGGCGACGCCGCTGTGTCCACTCGCCGTCTGACGGTGCAGGGATGTTCGGGTGGATAGAGAGCCAGATGCATGCAAAGAGGGTCGCGAAGCTGCTCTTCAGGATGTCCCATAGCGAGCGCTGTTGGTTGGCGTCGCCGAGATCTGCTCTGATCGACAACGATTGGAGGCTTGAGGTGGACGAGTGGCGCACTGGAAGGCCAGAGACGAGCTTCAATAGAGTGACTAAGAGGAAGACGATGAGCATGAGGAGAGACGAAAAGGTGGAATCGACGTACCTAGGAGGGCATTCCGCTATATCCACTTCACAGCGCCTATCTAAAGTTCATGGCGGTGTCGGAACAGTCCTTCTGATAGTAAACCTTCTGAAATCTGTGCAAGGGGTCCGTGATCACGTTGTTCGTTGATGGCACCTATTATCGAATTTGGGTGAGTTGCGAAAATACACAGGTTTGCAAAGTCTAGAAAAAGAAAAAAAGCAGAGGTAGAAGAAACGCCATGAGAAGAGATAGTGAATTCTCATCGATCTTAAGTGGGTATTAGCGCATACATGCGCTAACCGTCGGCTTGTGAAAGATATAACAAACGCCGAAAAATGACGAGAGGCGATGAAGCTGCAGGAAGGAGGTTCTGAGTGGCGGAGGCAGCCTTCTGACGAGGAACTTGCATAAAAAGGCGTATAATCACACTCGAAAATGGCATTGGTCTGATATCTGGACGAGAACTGTCAGCGAGTAGAAGATGGTTGACAGGAAATGGCCCAGAAATTACCCATTTGCCTTCTGTCGTATAAGTTCCCTCGGAGGTAAGGAGCTCCTCAATTGCTCCAGGTCGTCAGAAGGATGCTCAGTCGTTGGTCTGTTTGAACGGTATTGCCCTCTTGCTCATCGGCCAAAGACGGATATTGTTGTTAACGTAAAAGGGATCCTTGCCTGAAAACTGGAGTGTGGGTATACAATATGATGTTGACTACTATCAAGTGAATATGCTATAGACACATTAGCGTGGTTCGAGGGTAAAAAATCTACAACAAACGTACTTTATGCCTTCTTGCCCGACCTCGCCTTAACCTTTGACTTTCCCTTCCCTCCTTTCTTCTTAGCACCCGTCTTCTTCTTGGGCTTCACGACCGGAGTTGGTTCCGCAGTCGGCGTGGCCTGAGCACCCCTCAGCCGTATGCGACCGTCTTTGAGAGTTTCGGTGATAATAGGACTAGCAGCAGGCCGGTATTTGAATTCTTTGGAATATCTGAGTTTAAGATGTAAGCTCTTCAAGCCTCCTTGAGATGCTGGTCAAGTGTTACTCACCTCGACGCGTAGATAACCTTGGGCTTCTTCTTCGCTTCTAAGAGCCCTGCCCGCAGTTGAAAACCGACCCAGAAGAGGAAAGCCATGAACAACACTAATGCAAGACGCTTGAAAGGCGATGGTGTGGGTTGAACAAATCTCGAGTCTTCCTCAGGTTCGGGAGATGGAGACCTGGTACCCGTTGGTGATTCATTGTTTCCATCGAGTAAGAGGAGTTTCTCTTGGTCAGAATCAACCGGTTGCTCTTGTATGGTGTGTTTCTCGTCGGCGCTCATGGTGGTTACGGTTGACAACAATAACTAGCAGCTGTCTGGGTTTCAATCGTAAGAAGCATTTCCACGCCAAGATTCAGGGCGACGCTCAATGTTGTTCATATTTCATATTCTCAAGAATTCAAAGGCAGAAGGCTTTTAACCAACACGGTACGTTAACTTTCTGTAAATCACTTCCTCTCTTGAGCATTCTGTTCCTCTAGAATTCATAACTCCGGCTACCACGGCGGCGACCCTGAGATGAATCAGTGCATATACCCGCGTCTGGACACACCCACACGTTCTTCATGGCATATTCCACCTTCCTCTGGTCTTTGGGTATCTTTTCCCCTAGGGAAATCGAAGAGTTCGACGATCGCAGCATCTGGTCTATCGTATGGAGCTGCTTCGCCACCATTTTCGCCTGCACCTGGATCGCTGTTCATTCAAATGTCCCTGCACCAACAGATAGTCGGACGAGGATCTTTTCTAGACGCTTCGCCATCATGGGATATGTTCTCCTCGTACCGGAGATGGTCATTTTATGGGTAGCGCATCAGTACTACGGAGCGAAGGAAATCGTAGATAAATACAAAGGTGTGTGCTTACATACCACTCAGAGTTGACCCAGCTCATGCTTCTCTAGGCCAGGGATGGACTCAGACGCACGCATTCTTTCTCCTCATGGGTGGTTTCCAGCTGCAGGAGAACGGCGTCCCAATCCGCGCTTTGACGGTCAAGGAATTCGACGAATTGTACAGTGCTGGGAGGATCGACTGGCCGAAGATCTCCAAGGAGGATATTGAGGACAAGAGCAAGGCGGACGCGTTCATAAAGGGAATCGTGTTGATGCAAACCGGGTGGTTTGTGCTCCAGTGCATCACTCGAGGCGCATATAAGTTGGCCGTAACGGAGCTGGAGGTCGTAACGTTGGCATTTGCGGCGCTTACAACAGTCATCTACACTTTTTGGTGGCACAAACCCCTCGATGTCGGTCGTGCAGTTCCGATAGAACTCAAGCCCCCCGAAGAAGATGCAGAGAAGTTGGAGTCTGCGAAAGCAAGCATAATTTCTGCAAAGGACGTAGTTCCTGTCGCCTCTCCAGCCCCGAACGACTCGGTATCCCCAACATCGGACCCACCTCCCCACACGCAACACATTTCTTACCCAGCACCCTCTGGTTTGGGAGCACATCCTCAAGCGACACCAGGCATGCCTTCTACTGAGGAGGCCACGCGGTCTTCTGACCTTCTACCACCCACTTCGGGCGTACCCCTACTCGAGCATCTCGTCTCTCCCTCAACCCCCGAGCAAGTGACGGCCGCACCGCTGTACGATGTGGAAGCGGGTCAGCTCAAGGCAGGAGCTCCAACTTCGACAGTTTCCTCGCCTCAGGCAACATCCGCTCGCAGGACCCGTTATGAGCGATTTTCAGGGCACGTCCGTCATTTTCGTGCCTTCTTTCGCCACCAACGTCACAAACGAGGACTCTCGTCGCCCTCTTCTACGTGTTCGTGTACCACCCCCTCCGCTTCTTCCTCAAGCCATTCGAGGACATGCTGGAGTGTGCAGAGCTGAAGAGCGACAACCCTCTCCGTGTTCCGACGTTCTACGCCCCGACGGTGGTTGACGACGACAACGACGGCCGCAGCTATGCCACGGCCATCATGGTGACGTTCGTGTTCGGGGGCATCCACTGCATCGCGTGGAGGTTCCACTTCCCGACGTTGGTCGAGCAGTGGTTCTGGAGGGCTGGTGCACTCAGCGTGTGCGGCCTTCCACTTATTTTCGGCTTTCTCGTCATGATGCTTCCCGATGAGGGAGAGACGAACGCAATCGAGGATCCAGTTACCTTCTTGCTTGCTGTTACGACATTTACCTATTTCTTAGCCCGCATTTCTCTTCTTATTCTTCCTCTCCTCGCGCTCCGGTCCGGTCCTCCAAGCGCGTTTGTTGATATCAATTGGACCACTGTCTTCCCTCATGTCTAAGGACCGACCATCATCCCATCATCATTTCAACGACAAAACCCAACTCACCCTCTTTCGCAACAAATCCCCCTATCCAGTTTATCTTACAATTGGGAACATCCCCAAAGAAATCTGCTGCATACGTTCTCCTCGGCTACCTCTCAACCATTGAGGGCATCACAAACCAAGCCCAATGAAGACGTTGTCTTGCAGACCTTTGCCATGCTCTGTATTTACAGCCCGGTCTGTCTCCTCTATGTGCGTCTACTCTTAGTCTGCCTCTGGTTAGTAGTCCAGCAAAGTCAGACCACTTCCCATAGACTAGATTATTGATGCATGCCAAGGAGTGCTCTACGGTGGGGCAGAAAGAACACTTAATGATATCTCTGGCTAAGTACGAATACAGCCAAGATTATGTACATCAAAGCAAGGGGTGGCGTGTTCGAGTAAAAAGGAAAAGAAAAACACAGATATTTGACCATCTTCAGACGCTCACAACGCCACCAGGATTTTGCCATTGTAGGACCTTGTCAGCAACAGCGGCTATGAAATTCGAAAAAAAAGGAGGAATTAGTTTGGGGTGTAGCAGAGGCAGCAATGTGTACCTTGGAAATAAGATTCTGGACCCTCCTGGACCTCTTCCTCTTCGTCGTCCTCATCATCCTCAATACCAAAATAATCCTCGCTATATGACTCTTCATCTTCGGGGTTCTGGTCCGCGGCGCCAGGGTGAAGACCAAGTGAAGACACAAACACTTGCTCCTTGTGCGAGAGAGGTTGATCTAAGCAAAGGTGATGAGCCAGTTTTGCCTACTGTGGCAACGAGATGCAACAACATACCTCGTCCCGAAATGAGGTAGCAGCAGTAATCCCTGATCTGCTCATCAGAGGCATCAGGCCCGGGCTCTGCAACCTCCAAGCCAAACCTCGAGTTCCGAAGAGCTCCTTGCTTCCCACCGCCTTGCCTACCACCACCTTGCCCACGTCCCTTTGGCGTTAGCGACTGGCTCTGACTCTGCCCACTGAGACGGCCGTGCTCGTCAACACCTCCCATGGCAACATCCGTATTCTCTGCTGCTGCCATGTCCGCGTTTTCGTCAGCGACCACAGCTTTCCGCACAATTTGAGAATGCCTAAAAGCGTCAGAAACAATCCGCCTGTAGTATATCTTGTCGGCAACTGAGCCAGTCAATTCGACGAGCTCCTGATACTCCGCGCACAGGTGTTGTTGACCTTCGTATTGCGGGATCCTGAGGTATCGCCGGAACGCCATATCAGCGTTGAGAATGACAAGGAAGGGATTGAGGGACAGCGGGACTTGATCGACTGGTACAATTCTGCGGATCGCCGCAGGAAAGGGGGGCAGACGTTGAGAGGTGTCAGCTGCGGCATGATACGTGTTGTTATCGTCAACGAGAACAGGCCCACCAGTCTGAACAGGGCTAGTAAAAGAGCTCGGATGGCTGCTGGTCGCTGTATCACGCAATGCCCCGTCGGGGCTTGGCGCATAGTGTGTTGGGTGAAAACACTTGTGGACATCTTGGGTGTAGACGGTCAAAATTTGGCCTCTGGGAAGAAAATGGTCTGGGTGTAAGAGAACCATCCCGTACGTTGCGTTTGTGAACGGCTGTTCACGGCGCTGGCAGAGAAGGAAGAAAGATGAGTGCGAATGTCTAGGATAGCACGTCCATAGACTCACATTGAAATAACGGGTATAGTTTCCTCCACGTACATCGAACTGCCTGTTCTCCGCGTCTAGCAAGTCCGATAGAGCATGGAGGGTGTCCTTGGAGCAGGTGATAGCAAAAAATCCCAACTCATCAAGCGTATAGTGCAGAGTCGCATCCACTTGTGCTGGTTGAGTGGATTACTACGAATCAAAATTGATCAAACGTACGAGGTGAGAGGTTACTGGCAGAATTCAAGTGAAATTTCCGCTCTACGGTACCCAGCTGCTGGAGGAAAGCTTCCTAGTATGGCGTCAGGTAGGATTCGAAGCACGCTGAGAAGCAGGATTACCACAGCCACCTTGTCAGGCTTGCTTTTCCTAACAGCGTTGATCCAATGAGCTTTTTTGAGACCATGATCGAACTTTTTGGTGATAAAGCATAACTCGTTGCTGAAGTGCCGGCGCTCTGTTCTTTCAGACTCGGTGCAGCTCACGGACGAGGCTACAGACTGGCTGCCAGCGGAATGGGCACGGTGAAGAGCCGGAAGGTTGAGACTCGATACGGCTCTGACTTTGGTATAGGGAAAGTTTTTACGGTCTCTGGGTCATATTCTCGGAGAACCGACATGATGGTAGACGGTGAGTGCGGAACAGCTTTGTTTACATTCGTTTACTCGTTCAAACGTTCAAGCTCAAGTCTGAAGGGAAAACGCGAAGCTGAACGTTGGACGTAGACGATCCCATCGACGAAGTAGTATGTGATTACTTCTTTTTTCACCTACCTCCAATTCCGTCTTGCCTAGAGAAATCGAAAAGTTCGGTGACCGCAACATTTGGGCCATCGTTTGAAGCTGCTTCGCCACCATCTTTGCCCGCACCTGGATCGTAGTTCATTCAAATGTCCCAGCTCCGACAGTTAGTCGGACGAGAATCTTCTCCAGGCGCTTCGCCATCATGGGATACGTTCTGCTCATCCCGGGTAGCACATCAGTACTTCGGGGCGAAGGAAATCGCAGAAAAATACAAAGGTGTGTACCTAACTATTCAGAGTTATCCCAGCTCATGCTTCTCTAGACCTGAGATGGTCTCAGACACACGCTTTCTTTCTTCTCATGGGCGGTTTTCAATTGCAGGAGAATGGCGTCCCAATATAGTACGCGCTTTGACGGTCAAGGAGTTCGACGAATTGTACAGTGCTAGGAGGATCGATTGGCCAAGAATCTCAAAGAGGATATTGAGGACAAGAGCAAGGCGGACGCGTTCACGAAGGGCATCGTGTTGATGCAAACCGGGTGGTTCGTCCCCCAGTGCATCACTCGAGGCGCATATAAGTTGTCCGTGACGGAGCTGGAGGTAGCAACGTTGGCGTTTGCGACACTCACAACAGTTATCTACGCTTTTTGGTGGTATAAGCCCCTCGACGTTAGTCGCGCGGTTCCGATAGAACCCAAATCCCCTCAAACAGATGCAGAAAAGTTGGATTCTGCCAGGACAAGCACACATTCTGTGGAAGAGATAGTTCCAGGTTCGCAAACACCTTGTTCTCCGACCACGAGCGATTCGATACGCCCAATGTCGGACCCACCTTCCCAAACACAACAAAATTCTCGCTTATTTAATACACCTTGGTCCGGAAGCACATTCTGCGACACCAGGCATGCGTTCTACTTCTTCCTACCTTCTGCCACCACCTTCGGATGTACCTCCTCCCGAGCAACTCGATTTTCACTCCACGCCCGAGCCAGTGACGGCTGCACGCCGTACGAGGTGGAAGCGGGTCAGCCCAAGGCAGGAGCTCCAACTTCGACAGCTTCCTCGCTCCAGGCAACATCCGCTCGCAGGACCCGTTATGAGCGATTTTCAGGGCACGTCCGTCATTTTCGTGCCTTCTTTCGCCACCAACGTCACAAACGAGGACTCACCGTTGCCCTCTTCTACGCCTTTGTGTTCTACCTGCTCCGCTTCTTCCTCGAGCCGTTCGAGGACATGCTGGAGTGTGCCGAGCTGGAGAGCGACAACCCTCTCAGAGTTCCGACGTTCTACGCCCCGACGGTGATCGACGACGACAACGACGGTCTCAGCTATGCCACGGCCATCATGGTGACGTTCGTGTTCGGGGGCATCCACTGCATCCAGTTACCTTCTTGCTCATCCTTACCACATTTACCTATTTCTTAGTTCGCATTTCTCTTCTTATTCTTCCTCTCCTCGCGTTCCGATCCCTTCCGCCAAGTGCGTTCATCGATATCAATTGGACTACTATGATAGTACTATCTTCCCCATATTTTTGTCTTCCATCACCAAGCCTGAATATTCTGGACATTCGTCGACGTGCAAGCTGTCAAAATTTACCCGAGCAACCCGGAAATCTTATGCAGGGTGATCGTATTGGCGATCAATCCCTTTTATCGCCTCCTATTCATGCTTCCGTTCATCCCATGTCCTGCCTTCATCGCAGGCGGAACCATCGTCGACTCCCATTTCCTTCCTCTCACCATCTAGGATGTGGACCAGGAGACACCTCGTCTTCGTCGTCATCGTCTTTGCTTCCTCACTATATCTCCTTTCTTCCAATCAGCACGTAGAGCAAGTCTCAGCCAACCTACGTGGCTTGACCAAGCATAAGTCATCACCCCCTTCGCCCTTCGACGTCCTTGAGACCGCAAACCACGACACCCGAATCTCAGAGACGACACTACCTCTCGGTGCACCAGCTCCTGGGTTCACAATATTCGACCGCCTATACGTGCGGAACGGCACTTTTTTCGCCGTCACTCAACGTCCAGAGCAGTACCCGGACTTGATATACGTTCTCTCTCAAGGAAAGAACAAAGGTGGTCCGGACAATATCGACCCAACCCCTCGAGTGCGTTTTACATGGTTATATCTTGCCAGCTACTCCTCACGCTCGCGCTGCCCAGGAGATGCAAGTGATAACACCAACCCAGGCGAAGGACATTCTCGGCGAGTACGCGACGGTCATCGAAGGAACATCGATCATTCTATATGATACGTCCCAATTCATGGCGGTGAGTTCTGCGCGTGGATTTGAGAGGCGGTCAACTGAGCTATTGGAAGCACTATTACCACTGGTGGGGCGAGATTATGCTGGGTGCCATGCGACTCTACTCGGCGCTGTCGTTCATGCCAGGAATAGAAACGCCGCTTCCTGTGCCCTCGAGGTTCCTTCTCCCGGTATGCGGCATACACCCCATCATGACAGCAGCCGTTAAAAGCTGATATCTGCAGAACGTCCCCGACATGAGCTGGCGCGACAAGGCAGGTGTCAACGGACCACTTATGCACGCAGCATTCCCTTCATCATCCATCGAACGTTCGGACTACTGGAAGGACCTGAGTGATATCGATCAGGCATATGTCTTCGAACGGGCCATGCTCGTCAGCAGGGTGGCTGCTCACAAGAGGTTCGTGGCCTTCTCATCTAACTTGTAGCTCTCATCATCCGGCCTGAACAGCCCGCTCGCCACTATATGGTTCAAGATGATTTCAAGCACCATGAACGTGACTGCTGCTGCGAACTTCTGGGAGCCTCTTCGACGGCGTGCCGTCCAGAATATGATAGGCTATCTTCCGATGATGAACGAGGCCGGCACTGTCATGTCCCCTCCGACGTCATCGGCTCCTATCGTCATCTATGTCTCGAGGCAGGGTGGAGGACGAAGATTGAGGAAAGAAGACGATGAAGACCTCGTCAACGGGCTGAAGGAGCTGGAGAGAGAGGGTATCTGCGAGCTGCTTGTGGCGAAGATGGAGACGATGAAGTTCAAGCGTCAGATCGAGGCCGTGGCACGTAGTACGGTCAGCCCTTGTCTTGTCTTCTCGTCACTTTTCGCTGAGCATCGTCTACGGATGGACAGATCATGGTCGGCGTCCACGGGAATGGCCTTACTGTAAGCTTCATCAATCGTCTTTGGGCCATACTATAAACCGGGTTCCTTCCAGCACCAAATTTGGATGCCTCCCTCGGCGCGTTCAACTGTTATCGAGATCTTTTATCCTGAAAGTATGTGTTCTATTTGTCGCGAGGCTACTCGTGATTGAGGTTTCTTCTAGCCTATCTTCATGATTATTCGATGCTGGCTCGAAATATGGGACACAAGGTACACGCTCCTCGGTCCAGAGTTCGGGATCAAATTATTCATTCTGGGCGCTTATTTTTAGCATTACGCGGTCTGGAACGATACGACGCTGACATATCCAGCTGGGCAATGGTTCAAGGTTCGTGTGCATTTTCTCAGAACTTCTCTTCTCCATCGTGTTGATTCCCCCATTCCTTCAGGGCGTCAACGAAGGAACGAGAGATAATTTTCACGGAAGTTGGTGCATTCCTTTTCGTTTAGTCGAACACCTGTTGACTCAACTATCGCGTAGATTCCATCCCCGTTCATGGCAAAACCGTGGCAGACCTAGTTCGGCAGCGCCTCAGCCTAGACGTCGTGTCAGATTTTTGATGTTCTGCGACCAAGGGCACGGGGCGACACCTCCGAGTCGAGCGACGGGAATAAAATAGACATTCCGCTGGATAGTAAGCATTTTTAATCGTGCCAGACGGACCATAAGCCCGTGGTGCTCATCTAATCTAATGTATAATATTGTTATCGATATGTGAGTCGCCATCGTTCCATTCGCTCTCAAGCACCCTTCGGCTCACATTTGGCACAGGATGTTCCTCATTTCATGCCGAATTGACCCAGTTACCGCTAGCATGATGGTGGTACCAAAACCCAACATGTATGCCCTGCGTCGGCCAGTGGAACCCTGATAAACTCAGTAGTAGGCCTAAAATATAGCTGATCTTCCACCAAGACAGAAATTCTATCCCGTAGGACGTCTGCCTAGCAGCAGATGGCCTTAAAGCACTTCAATCCATAGGCTGGAAATACTCCCAGAAATACAACTGCTGTCAGCATAATTGTCGTCACCTTGTCTCATGGCTAGTTCATTCGAATTCCTCCTGCGCTGGGCACCTGCGAGATTGTTTTACTTCTACCTGTGGTCTATTCCCTCATGCTGTGTCCAAGTATTCCTCCGTTCATAGACGGTGTACCGGTTCATGGTTGGCCTCAGTTCTTAGGCGATTTGCTTTGCATCATGATTTCTTTCCGCGCTTACGTTCTCCAAAATATCTGGATTTTATTTCCTTTGATTTCACAGTTACCACGGGCAGGCGCCGTGACCTCCCAAGTTGAAGGAGTTGGCCATATGCATTAATCAATAGCTCGCACCCGATCACTATTTGTGACGTGATTCTCTAAAGCTCAAGCACGCCCTGGCTGCCTTCTCACCACCACCACATCTCAGGTCGCTGACCTCTGTACTTCCCGCCTTTCCTATATTCCTCAACTCCCAAGCCTTTCTTTCGCGACACCTCAAATCGCCCAGTCATGTGGACGAGGCGACAACAGTTTTCCGCGTTCGCGGTTTTGATGCTATGCTTCGTCCTTCTCTTACACCAGAATGATACGATACGGGAACACGCGAATCGCGCTTCGACGTATATTCCCTACAAGGCGTGGTCGAATTCTTACTATGATATGAGCGAGGAGTTCAGCGACATGGACTACCTGGGTTCGGTCCCTCCCACGATGCCCTGCAAAGGACTTGTTCCAATCACGGAGACCGACATCCTTATGCGCCCCCATGGCTTCACGGTCTACGACAACCTGTATCTTAGAAATGGCACGCTCTACGCCATCGTGGAGAACCCTTTGACATTCCCGGATTTGAAGCATGTACTCGCGAAACCGCTCGACCAGAAAGGCGCTAACCTCGATCCTACTCCCGAAGTAAGTCACATGCTGTCTATTCGCCACTTTCTGTTCAAGGCGAGGCCGCAATAGATGATGCAGGTTATCATGCCGGGCGACGCAACGAACATCTTGGGCTCACGTGCGGTTGCAATCGAGGGAGCTTCATTTATTATCTACGATATGAATTTCTTGAAGGTGCGCTGAACCTTTGTCGCATATAATCATGTTCCTTGACTCGGGTTCTAAGCACTACTACCACTGGTGGGGCGAGATAATTCTCGGCGCAATTAAAATCTACACGGCGATGACCCTTACGGCAGGTTTCAGAGGGCCCCTCGCCGATCCCTCGCGGTTCATAATTCCCGTACGTTGCACTTCCTTTTCTTGACTGGCCCTCATATTTGGGCATTAGAATATCGCTGGCTCTTCCGACTGGCATGATAAGGTTGGCATCATTGCGCCGCTGATGCGGGCCGCCTTTCCGTCAGCTAGCGTTGAGACGGGAGACTACTGGAAGGATCTCAGCGACACCAATCAGACCTTTGTATTTGAACGCGCCATGATTATTAGCCGCCACGCCGCACACAAGAGGTATTTCCCATAATGAATGATACGCTAAGGCCGGGCTAATTTATATCTACTAGTCCTCTTGGCGGCCTTTGGTTCGCAATGATTTCAACTACGATGGAAGTAGCAACGCCGCCGTATTTCTGGGAGCCTTTCCGACAGCGAGTTGTGCGCAATACGGTCGGGTATCTTCCCTCTCTGGATGACAAAGGCCTGGTCCTTTCGAAACCCAAGTCTTCTGCGCCGATTGTGCTCTACATCTCACGCCAGAATGCAGGCCGAAGGCTCAGGGACGAGGACCACGAAGATCTCTTGAATTCGCTCAAGGAACTCGAGGACGAAGGTGTTTGTCAGGTTCAAGTTGTGGCGATGGAAAAATTATCGCTGAAGGAACAGATCGAGACGGTTGGCAGGGCCACAGTACGTTTTCTTCTGTTAAGCGCCCGATATTTGCCAAGACTTCTCTTTGATCCCGTTTAGATAATGCTGGGCATTTACGGGAATGGTCTCACAGTAAGCGCTCATACTTTCGTCGCACTTATAGTTCGGGTCTAATTTCCTCTTTCCCTAGCATCAAATTTGGATGCCCGCTACTTCTCGCTCCACTGTCATTGAGATTTTCTTTCCCCAGAGTGAGTGTAGTTTACTATCACCTACAACGCAAACTGATCGGCAATCTATCTTAGCGTATCGCCATGATTATTCCATGCTTTCCAGGAATATGGAGCATGCGGTGCGCTTCCTTTGCTTCCGTCTCTTACGTCCAAATGTTCAGTAGATCCGCCTGCCGTAGCACTACGCCGTCTGGAACGACACGACCCTCACATACCCAAAAGGACAATGGTTCAAGGTAATTATTGATTTTTCATTTAAAATCCCTACGCCGCTCATTTTGCTTGACCGTCGACAGGGAATAAACGACGGGAGGCGAGAGGACTTCCACGGAAGTATGTGGAATGCTTTCCAGCTCTTGAGCTCAACAATTGACTCCTCTTTCTATAGATAATATTCCTGTGCATGGCCCAACCGTCGCTCGCGTGATCCGAGAACGTCTCTGGGTACCGACGCTTAATTCCACCAACACATCCCTTTAACCTCGACGCGAGGGCCTATAGAAATTTTATCTCGCCTTTGTTTTGTATTGAGTATTAAACACTGTAGGCTAGTGGGGAAATCGAATGCAATTTAGACACCTAGATCGTGCGTTGAGCGAAATTATCGAAAGACAGCCCATAAGGGTGGGAATTTGTTGTTATTGCAATTGCGATTCACGCTCCGAGAAAAGCTAGGGGCTTGCTTTTAAATGAGAGGATAAGATAAGGGAAGTGCAACACCAAATCCGTGGATTTGGTCGCCGCATATTTTCCACACACGGGCATTCCTTTCCTCGTCCCTCCTTTCCCCTCGTCCTCGTTGTTGTCAAGGTTCTCTCGTGTTCATTTTCGTTTTTTCGACCCGCTCACCTTCAAGCTTCAGGTTTTATCTCTTTTGATTATAAAAGGCGCTGATTCAAACACATTTCCCAGAACTTCGCTACCGACAATTGAGGCCCTCGTTCTCAGTTCTGTTATATTTAGTAGAAAGTTGCATTCCGGCGCTTATTTTAACTTGCAACCCCTACCATTTGCCCCCTTTGAGGTATGTTTTGGCGTGCATTAGCAAATTTCTCCTCCGATTCACTTTCTTTATTGAAGTTTAACTCCTTTGCTGCCAGGCACGGCGCTACCCCTATTTGATAAATTTCATCCCTTTTTGGGGATCGGCTAAATTTTGATTGGCTGTAGCTTTTGCCCTTTCCTCTCGACCATTCCAGACATTTTCTTGCTCCATGGCAGGGACCTCCTCGTCTTCACCAACACCTATGAACCGTTGATCTACTTCGCCTGCGGTGTCTGCACTCCCTCAACATGTGGATGACCCAGAGGCGACAACAACTCTGCCTCCTACTGATCTTCCCTGCCGTGCTTCTCCTATTACACGCGAACCCTCAAGCCGTCGAACATGCATCATCGAAAGCGGCGAGCCTGGCGCAGTGGACAAGAGTGAAGACTATGGGGCACTCTGAAGACGATTTTGCCAGCTTTAGTCTGGTAGAAGGTGACGACGAAGAGGATGAGAGCATACCAATAGCAGAGACGAATTTGCTCCTTCGTCCCTCAGGCTTCACCATATACGACCGTCTCTACGTGTGGAACGGGACGATCTACGCGGTCACGCTAACTCCAGAGTCTTATCCCGACTTGAAACATATTCTGTCGCAGGGGATTTCGTCGGACTACGGGAACATCGACCCAACTTCCCAGGTAAGTGGACTGCTTTCAGTTTTCCGTGTCGTCTCATTGACCCAACCCTACAGGAAATGCAGATAATCACCCCTATGGAAGCACAGAAGATTCTTGGAGACACCGCGGTTCTTGTGAAGGGGATGACATTCATTCTGTACGATAGCACGCAGTTCATGGTGGTAAGTCCACTTTCGTTCTCTTCTTCGCCGATCTCAACCGTTACCAGCACTACTACCATTGGTGGGGAGAGATTATACTCGGTGCAATTCGAACGTACAGCGCACTATCGCTCCTGCCAGGAATCAAGGCCCCTTTGGCTGCGCCGTCGCGTTTTCTCCTTCCTGTACGTCGCATACCCTTTCCGTGATCGAAATCACTCCTCATTCCCGTGCTAGAACGTGGAGGATGACACCTGGCGCGACTACGCTGGTGTCGACGGACCATTGATGAGGGCCGCATTTCCCTCCGCGTCAATTGAGCACATGGGTTACTGGTCTGACCTGATCCAACTCAACCGCACTTTCGTCTTCGAACGCGCAATGATTGTCAGTCGCCAGGCCGCTCATAAAAAGTATTTAACACCTTCCTTCGTCAAACACAGACTCATGACGAGCTCTCCAGCCCCCTGGCCTCTCTCTGGTTCAAGATGATCTCGAGCACGATGAACGTTACCGCACCGACTCACTTCTGGGAACCGCTTCGCAAACGCGTGCTCGTGAACACCGTTGGATACTTGCCAATACTCAACGACGCTGGTGCCGTCATTTCTCCGCCGAAGGTAACTACGCACCCAGAGGTTTCTCGACCTGTCGTGCTCTACGTCTCTCGACAAGGAGGAGGACGGAGACTGCTGAAGGAAGCTCATGAAGGGCTGGTTAGCGCATTGAAAGAGCTCGAAGAGGAGGGGTTGTTCGAGGTGCGGGTGGTCAGGATGGAGTTGCTTCCGTTTGCGAAGCAAGTGGAAGAGGCTGGGAGGGCAGCGGTAGGTTCCTCTCTCGTTACTCTTTGGTTGACTCCCATTGAACATTTCTTCGTGCAGATCATGGTGGGCGTACATGGAAATGGTCTTACCGTACGCGGCTATCACGTCCATCTCAGACGAAAGCACTGACTTTAGTTGATAGCATCAACTGTGGATGCCGCCTTCTCCTCGATCGACTGTCGTCGAGATACACTTTCCGAAAAGTTCGTTGTTCGCAACTTATGTGCATGGACAGCTGACGGAGGAACGATAAAGCCTACAACCACGACTATGTCATGCTATCACGGAACATGGGGCATAAGGTTTGTGTCCGGCGTTTCGTTTCCAGAAATTCGAGCCTGACGTCCAAGTAGCACTACGCCGTGTGGAACGATACCACTCTGACATTCCCCGAAGGACAATGGTTCAAGGTTGGATTCCAACACATGTCATGGGCGATCATTGGTCTCATTCTTCTTCGTCGCAGGGTGTAGCAGGGGGGAGGAGGGAGGACGCTCATGGGAGTACGTGCGAACCTATTTCCTTTGATTTCCTCCATCCCTAACAGCAAATTGGATGCTATAGATTCAATACCGGTACATGGGCCTACCGTGGCCCAACTGATTAGAGAGCGACTGATGGCTCCAATTCCGTGACAATTTGGCCCTGAGACGTATTAAAAGTAAGGGCACGTAAATAGCTCGAATTTAAAGACAATTTGCTAAACACATCTACAGTAATCCCATGCACGATAATTCACATATCTCATTTAATCAAAATTCTAATATCATACGGACCAGCGCCGAGAGTTCCGTCCTACAGTTCATCCACGCCAACCTGAGTAGCCCTCTCAGCGACCTCCAAGATAGTGTTCATGTAATGCTCAATGATGTTTCGGTCTTCGGGGAAGGCCCAGACGGGCGACTTGAAGATCGATTCGAAGAAGCAACAAGGCTCCAGTGAAGTTGGTAATCGGGCGAGTAAGGTGGCTGAGAACTTTCCAAAATATGTTTCTACCCCCTGCAGTCTTTGAATCAACCCGGCTTTTGTAACTACTGAATCAACCCAGAAATTGAACTACTGATGTAACTAAATATGAAGTACTGATCCAACCCTATACCAAACTACAAATCCAACCCAGGTTCTTGATGTACTGAAGCAACCCTGCTTTTCAAGTTCAATTCTAGCATTTTAAAAGTACTGATACAACCTTTTTTCAACTTGTGATCCAACCCTTATTTCAGAGTGTAACAAAGTACTGGATCAACCCCCATTATGATTAAGAATATGTACTGATCCAACCCTCATTATTCTGCTAGAAAAGTACTGACCCAACCCTCATTATCCTCTAAAAGAAAGTACTGATCCAACCCCCATTATTCTCTAAGAGAAAGTACTGATCCAACCCCCATTATCCTCATAAAAAGTACTGATCCAACCCTTATTATTCTCATAAAAAGTACTGATCCAACCCTGCTTTTTTCAATTTCCTAATTGGGATGTCTCTGATCAACTGCACACAGCTGTGATCTTGTGCTACCTTGATCCTCTACCACCACCATCTCTGGCCTTCAATATGGGTAGAACTAAGAAGAACCCAAAGAAGAGAGCAGTAAGTGTGATAATTTGATATCTTTTGTCTTAGATCTACATTAACCAATAACATAGCTTTCCACATCAATGTCTGAAGATGCCAGTCCACCTAAGATCAAAGCCAGTAATCAAGATGATGCTAAGAGCTCTAGACGTTCTAAGAAGGTTAGAAGTAGATTCCCTTCTTGATACATCATAGATCTAACTCATTTCCACTAGAAAATA